CTATCCACCCTCACAATCTCAAAACCAACATCCAAACAACCAGACACAATGTCATCCCACCCCCTCGAAGCCCTCGAAGCCCTCGACCTAAACCCAACCAAACCCAGTCTCAACACAAGAGACCTAAATCCAAATCTCCTGTACACCGACACCTCCCTCCAAAAACGCTACACAACAATCTCCATCCCCTCAACCTACGGCCGACTCAACTCAAGCCCCGCCGCCGGTACCGTAGTTGGAATCGTACTGGGAAGCGTAGCAGGCTTCGTACTGCTAATGTACGTACTCTTCCTCGCGGTGAACCCAGGCGGCGTCGCGCGGGGCGGTGCAGCAGCGCCAACCTCATCCTCGATCTCGATGTCGATGTCAATGGACGAAGAAGAGATCGTGGAAGTGCACAGCCGACGTGGATCATCTGCGGGACGGAGACGACCCGACGTCATCGAGGTCGCGGAGGAAAGGGAGAGTTTCCGTGATAGTTATCGGCGTCGTCCGTCGTCGAGACATGATCGTGTCGTTGTTGAGGAGTCGCTGGCTACTTCGGCGACTGGGGATGAGGATATTATTGAAGTTGAGGAGGACGAGTCTAGTGTGCCTTCTGATGTTTCGCCGCGTCCGCCGCGGAGGTCTAGACGGGGTGGGGTTAGGCATGTTGATCCCATGGCTTATGGTGGGGGTAGTGATTATAGTAGTCACCGATGATTTGGGGGTTGATGTTTGTTTGTTTTTTGGATGCGATACCCTTTTTATGTGTTATGATTTGTTTTTTATTGATTGATGATGCTGATTTATATCTGGTAATGTCTTGTAATGATGGATGAGAATGCTTTTATAAATCTTAGATATAATGCATATGCAAGAGCCAAACAACAAAAAAAAAATGAAGAAAAAGACGCAGAGAGAATGCTAGACAAACGCTAGACTTCATGTATAAGTTGACGCATTGAGCATGTACGGATAACCTCCTCAAATCTATGCCTTCTCCTCAATCGAGGCCTTCTTGAGCTCGTCCTCAACGTCGGCCACGGCATCCTGCTCCTGAGCCTGCTCAGCCTCTGCCGAGGGAGCGCCGTTCTCTTGAGCGGGCTTCTTGGCAGCATCGGTGGCCCGGCCGTTGGTCTGGGGGGCGTTGGCGGCCTTGGTCTCCTCCTCTTCGAGGCGGGTAATCTCTTCCTGGGCCTTCTTGATGTTCTATGGGGTAATTAGCAACTGGCCATAACCGATAACTTTGAAAAGAACAAAACTTACCTCTTCCGTCTTGCTGGCCTGGTTCTTCTTCCACTCGGTGATCTTGGCAGCCAGCTTCTCCACAGAGGCGGGGACATCCGACTGGTTCATAGGAGGATCGATCTTAACCTTGGCGAAGTCCTCAATAATACCAACATTCATGTTGAACTTGGTGCTCTCAACACTGGCAGCGGCACCACCCTTCTTGCCGCCCTTCTTGCCCTTCTTGCCACCGGAACCGACGAAGTAGTCCTCCTCATCGTTCTTGCGCACAACCTTCATTCCCTTGATCTCAGCAGCTTCAACAGTGCGGCCAACTCCGGCACGGAAATTGCTGCCCTCATCCTTCTTCTCGTCCAGACCGAGGGAGGAGAAGTCGTAAGCGGGATCAAAGTGACGGATCAGACCCTGTGCGGTCAGGATCTCGTCAGCGTAGGCAAGCTGCGAGGCCTCCTCCAGCTTCTTATCAGCGATCTTCTTGCGCTTCTCACGGGCAAAGGCCTCGTGCTCAGCCTTCTGGCGCTCGCGGCGCACACGCCAGGCCTCATCCTCGTACTCCTTGTAGGCACGACGGGCCTTGAAGTAGGTGTCCTTAATGGTACGGATAGCAGTGTACTTTTCCTGCTGCTCGTTGCGCAGCTTGGTGCGCTCATCGCGCAAAGTGTTCAGGTTCTTGAAGACACCGTCCTGCTCGGCCTTGATGGCATCAAGCTCCTTCTGGATCTCGGCGTACTTGTCGCTCAAGGCCTTGGCCTCGGGGTTGTCGAGGGTCTTGCGCAATTCGGAGATCTGTGTCTTGATGTCGTTAATGCCCTTCTGGGCCTCATCCAGGCCGGCGAAGCTCTTGCGCTGCTTGCGCAAGTTGGAGACCTCGGTGAGAGCCTTGCGCTCATCCACCAGACGGAGAGTACCAGAGTCAACCTGCTTCTCGAGGCGGGCAATCTCCTTATCAATCTCCTCGACGCTCTTGAATGACAGACGTCCGCGAGAGTTGTTCTGCTCGGTAATGCGGGACTTGAGGTTGGCGTCCAAGGCGTTGATCTTCTCCTGGGTGGAGGACCGGCTGGACTTGAAGCCGGACTGCTTCTGGCGAATGGAGGAGAGTTCGGCGCGCAGCTCCTGCTGTTTCTTAACGGTGGGCGAATCCTGGTTGTTGGGCTTGGCGTTGTCCAACTTGGCCTTGATTTGGTTCTGTTGCGCATATCAGTCATTGGCCCGAGGACATGGTATGCAAGTAAATAATGAACACGAGGACAATCAACAATCAGAGTGGGTCGGGGATCATCCCCGCGACCCAAGTCAAATGAGAGCTCAGTGAACAAGTCCAAAAAAAATGCATCCATACCAATTTCTCCTGAGCAGCAGTGTGCTCCTTCTCAGCCTCAGCGAGACTGGTCTTGTAGGCGGCCTCGTCCGGCTTGGTGGGCTTAACCCGCTCCGCATCAGTAGCAGCCATTGCGACGAATTGAATGTAAAAAGAGAGACAGAGAGAAGGAAGGGACGAATTGCCTTCTGAGGACCTGAAAGGATTAAATAGACCAACGAGACCAAAGCGAAACTGAAAAGGGGAAACTTGGAATTATTAAAATGGTTCGGTCGGTTTCTCCGCTTAAGCGTCGTTGGCAGAAAGTTCCCGCCGATTTTTCGACTTCACCTTTATCTCTCCACCGGAGCTCTTTCTACCCGTTCTTTTTTTAATCTCTTGACGAGATAACCTCCTATTTCCTTTTCTATCCTAGTCATCGACTTATTACTCCACCATGGATGGAGATTCGGCACACTCCATGGAGGCCGAGCGCGAGATGACTCGGCTCTGGCGCACCTTTAGAACAGTCTATGAACTGCTCGCTGACCGGGTAGGCACTTCAGATCGAGTCCCTGACTTTTCAGTGTCTCTCGCAATGCCCATTTACTCAAGGCTAACGATCGGCGACATACTAGGGCTACGAAGTGTCTGATAACGAGCTGGTACTCCCGCTAGAAGACTTCCGCGCAAAATATGCTGACCCTCTGGGTTACCCTGAGTATGCGAAATCCTTGCGCCCACCGTCCCATTGTCTCGAGATAGTGAAAACTTGAGCTGAGAAATGCCGGCACACGCCATTGAAAATGTACACATCGCTAACAATATGTTCCGCAACAACAGTCGCACCAAGATGAAAATCCAAGCCCGCCCCACCGATACCATGAAGCTGAAGTACACAGCACTGCCCAGCAAAGCGAACCCAAACCCCCAGCCAGACTGCGGCACAATCTACGTCGACTTCTGCCCCGACTCCTCAGGTGTCGGAACCAAGCAAGTGCGCGCCTTCAACCACCTTGTCGATGAGAACAACTTCCACACTGGTATCTTCATCACGCAGACGCCGATCTCGCCATCCGCCGTGCGCCTGCTTTCTGGCGTCCCCGGCCGTATTTGCGAGCACTTCCAGGAACAGGATCTGCTCGTCAACATTACCCGCCACGAGCTGGTCCCCAAGCACGTCCTGCTTAGCCCCGAGGAGAAGGGCAAGCTCCTCGAGCGCTATCGTCTGAAGGAGTCCCAGCTGCCCCGCATACAGATCTCCGATCCTGTCGCCCGCTACCTTGGCTTGCGCCGTGGTCAGGTCGTTAAGATTATCCGCAAGTCTGAGACTGCGGGTCGCTATGCCAGTTACCGCTGGGTCATTTAAGCTGCAAAACAAGGTTGCTGGAAATGGAACAGTAAGATTGATATGCGACTCTTCAGAATGGACCGACGCTAGATCTTTCTTTTCTTTTTTCTTTTTCTTTCATTTGGGGGGTTTACAGAGAGTCAAACCCTGGTTCCTGTGAACCTCAACCTCACAAATTCGAATCGCATCAAGTCCACTTCACTGTCTCCGATATGACCGCTTTCCATACTACGCAGATCTGCAGGAAATACCCAATTGGCAGTCGAAAAAGAGCAGTTGATGCTAGTCGGAAGTGGAGTGGACGCTTGGGAGTTATTTTTTTTACTCATCGACTCACATTCAACAAACACAAAAAAAGTTTTGGTCTCCCCTTGTATTATGGGCAGCATGGCGTATAGGCGCGAAGTTTCTCCTGCTTTGGGGGATTGCGATGGGGGGTTTGCCTGTGATTTTACATAATGGCCGTGTCTTTGTATGTCTAGATGAATCCAATCTATGAATGGCTGTCATTTCGAGTTTGGGTGAGGAGTGTGTTGTAGATCGTGGTTAGTGTCTGCCCATATGCATGGCCACTTATAATCCATATACTGTACCCCTGGTTATATATGAAAAGTCGTCTTGTATTTTGCTGTCGGATCTAAAGTGACATGCCTGACATGTTTAGTAGGAGATCCTGCTCTTGCTATAGAGAAGAACATGTGTGAATCTGTGGGTGATATTAGGTCCTGTATAGGTTGCTTAGAAGTTATAACACAGTCTCACAGTATCAAGAAAAGCATTGTGACCACGGCACAGCGCCCGAGGCTAAATCGGTCCCCTACGCTAGGAGGAGAATGCAGAAAGATGTTGCCATCGGGGTCACTTTCAGTAAATATTGCGTATATATAGATAGTGAACTGCTTAGTGGCACGAATCAAACTCCACAAGATGTACAGCAGATGCTGATCAAGTCAGTGATGGATTATAATGGGTTTATTGAAGCGTACACATGGCACCATAGAGGTGGATCTGGAAGTGATGTTATCTGTGGATTAGACCCAATCTACTGTACAACTCGCACTGGCTTACGATGGAGCCGGTGATTCACGGGCCGAGAGAAATTCTTCAGGAGAGAGACCTTCAAGAATACAAAACTGCCACAGGCGGCATCCCAGCTTCTTCCCGAGCTGATTCCATCTCCACCTCTATATCGACCTCATCACATCGGCCTCGGCTTTTGGTCGCATTGTTTGTCTCAAGATAAGACTCGCCATCTCGGAAGTACCATGCGAGGTGTGTCTTGAAGCTTCGCAGTAGCAAAGGGAGCAAAAATCGATGCGCAAGGCCACGAAGGAGGAGCTCCGAATGTAACATTTCCCGCTGGTTGAGCAGGTTGACTAAAAAAATGAACTTCCATGGGATCTGCAAGTCTCGTAATCTCTGAATCACTGATTTGCGATGCCATTATTCGAAGTGTCTCGTCGGTCAAAGTCTTCTGCCTCTCGAGGAATTTAACGGCTCCCAATCTGACTTTTTCGTCCTCATCGTTGATTCGGGCTGCTAACAAATTGAGGTGTTCCTCGGATAGGTCTGACTGCCGAATAAGGACCTGAACAATAACATTTCGAACCTCTTTGTCGCCGTCATTGATTCGTAACGCAATCACTTCAAGCCAATCCTTTAAAATCGATAGGTCACCAATGCTGAATGCTTGTATGGCAGCTGCTATGACTCCTGCTGTGACTCCTACCTCGACTCCTGCATCTGCGTGATGAATGTAGGTCGCGATTTTGTTCAAGATATCTGGCGAATACGACAGATATGACCGGCCGCCTAGGGCGTTGATAGTGGCTGTTTTGATTAAAGGGTCTCGATTCTTGATACAATCCGCTATCTTGTCAAGGGCTGTTTTCGGTAAATTGGACAGATGTTTGAGCGCTTGCAAAGCAGCCTGTTTGGTGGAGTTGCGTTCATCAAGTATGGCTACTATCCTATTGGCGATTGTCTCGGATAAGCATGGCCGGTGGCTTAGGGCATCGATGGCAGCCGTCCTAACCTGATCATTGTCATCCTTGAGGTGCATCACTATTTCTTGAAGAATCGACTCTGATAAATTTGGCTGTCCGTCCAGTATTTTGATAACTGAGTATCTGACAGAGGACACAGAAGATATCAAATATCTTACTAAAACCTTGAGGGCTTCTTTTGACAATATTGATTTGTTGCACCACTCGTTAAAAAGTTTGGGATGTCCGAGCAAAAGGTCATCTTTCTGACTATCTTTCCCTAGAATAACCTCGCTTGACAGATCATCTGGACAATTTGAAAGCTTGGATAGAACCAGGAGAGTAGTCCTTTCAAGTCCTTTCTCTTGGCACAACATTGTCGTCAATGATCGAATGAGCCGCTCCGGTAGTTTTGATCGCCCGCTTAGAGCGTATATTGAGGCCGATCTGACGAGCATATCTCTAAACTTAATCTTCGCCTCTATTAATGGCACCGCTTTCTCCTAAAGGGTCGATTGGTAACGTAAAAACTGTATAGCAGCGTCTCTGATATTCCCAGAGGGACTCCCTAGGCCTTAATAAGTCCCGTAGCACTAAGGCAATTTTGGTACTGCGATATGGTACTGCGAGGTACTGCGGGACTAAGCTAATTTTAGTGCTGTTGTATAGTACTACAGTACTAAGTACTATAGTACTATCATAGTATTAGTTTTAGTACTACGCTAGTGTAATTCTATTAAGGATTACCTAAAATAGATAGATAAAATACTAACTTATTTTGATAAATTACTATTTTTTACTTATATATTAGTATTAGAAGGTACATAGTCGCTGCTGAACAAAAGCTAAAGCGAAAGTAAAAATAAAGAAAAGCAAAAGATAAATTTGGCTCATCCGTAACTTGCCCTCCAGGGCTGCAGCATAGCAATGATTTAGACTCTTCATGGCAAGAATTGCGTCACGGACATCAGCTCCAAGCACAGTTCCAGCGTCGGCGTCACGAGTGGAGGCATCACCGGAGTCAAACGTCTTGTCTTGAACAAGGGATTTAGGGAGTTCCGATCCTGAAACACAACGGGCTAATGTAACCAGTGTTGACCGATTAAGGTACTCGCCGGCGGAGGGCCAAAAACGCGTGGCTTCAACCTTTTTCGCAACGGCGTCACTGGCCCCTCGGCTCTTTGCATTCAGGTACGCAATAATGAAACAGAAGTACAAATACCGTCGGCGAGGACGGTTGTCGGAAACGAACGTCAATGGCTTGTTGTCAATCTCCTATTATATCATTAATATAATACTCAACTCTAGCTTTTGCAATACTGACCTTCAGTTTCATATAGGATCCACCCAAGGTACCGATGATGTTCTCCTTCTTTGATTCGTCCAAGACAACACACCTCCATTGAGTTGGACTTTTCATTGGGCCGGGCATAGGTACAATCGCGATGGTACCTTGGTCGAAAAGTAGCTCAATATTGTCTGCCAGTGTGATGCCTAATTTGTATGAGTCAGTCATTTCCTTGGCCACAAAGAGAACATTCTTACCATTGCGGGGGTCACCAAGAACTCCATCGCTGACTCCGAATAGGTGGGAAACTTCCTTGGATGTCATAGATTTGGGTACAAGATGGGCAGCTTTGATATTCTTTTGGGGAAGTACAGTGCCCAATACATGACACCACCCAAAGCCAGGGTGACAATGCTCATTGACACCGTAGTATGCATAAACTTCCTTCTTGAAGGCAGATTGATCAAACTTGGGACCCTTCTGTTTTGCACTTGCACCTAGCACACGGGAGATTATAGCGTCACGGTAAGCATGCTCGAGCAGGCTTTGGTCAACCGGTCCTTCAATCCTCTGACGTTTCGCTGAAACTTCTTCATCAATGTCTTCGATGATCAATGGGCGTTGTGCCTTCAGGACTTGAATGGCTGATGACGACGAACGGAAGGACTTCAAGAAGGGCTGGATTTCTCGCTGAAAGGCGTCGTGGGAGACCTTTTCAGTCTGTCTTGCTTCGTTGAGGCCGTCTCGGATACATCGCATGTACTCAAGTTCACTTTCCATTGCCGCGAGTTTCACGTCAAGAATATCGGATGTTGTCGACTCAACTGACATCTCAGAAAGGCGGGATGCTGCACTCACAGACCTTTGCTTGTGAGTCCGTAGCGCTAACTGACGAGAAGGCGCCATGAGAGACGATATTATTTCGGGGATCATGAGGGGCTCAGCAGGGTTGTTCAGGGTTGACATGTTAGCGGTATGATGCAGACAAGAAAACGAAGGGCTGATCAAACTGGACGAAAGAAGAGGTGACAGGCTGTTGAGGTGTTGGGAGAATAGTAATACCATTGGTTAAGCTGGATGAAAAAAAGGCGATAAGCTGATGAAAGGTAAGACAGACTTGATGCCAGTGATAAAAAGGGATGAAGGAAACGCGAAGAAAGGTGACAGACTGATAGAGGGTGCCAAGCTGGAGTAAAAGAAAAGCAACTAAGCCCAATTCGGATTTGACATGGCAGAGCCGCCAAATGTCGGGTTCCTGGGCGGGACTCTCCCATGGGACTATAAAAGTGCAAACATAGCCAAAAACATGACTTTTAAATTACGCTATGTTTGATACCTGTATTTAGGCTTTACATAAAGGTAAATTCTGGTTCTTATAGTTGACTAATTGATAATCTGCTTAGGTATAGTTGACTAAGCTCACTAACTATATATTTTGTATGGGGCCTACTATCACAGCGGTCTATGTATTTTCCGAGGTGTTGAATACTCGGTTTCCTAGTCATGTATTGTAATATAGCTTTCGACACTATACTTACCTCCAGCTTCACTATTATGCATTTTTTCCCCACGCATCTGCACTCCTTCCGTTAGGTATTTTTCTTATTTATCTATATTATTGAGCCTCGCTATCCCCTATTTATTGTGTGATGCTTGTCAGCTCCGCGATCCCGCGCCATCAACCTATACCCGACAAGAAAGTGAGGCAATAAGCGCCAGAGTTATTTATATCCACTACTGGGTTCTGATACCTTGAGCGGTAACCTATTACACAGGCACATACGGTGATAGGCTACCCTGCATATGATGGTGGGTTAAGGTCTGCATGAACCTGGTGGTTCCGGCCATGCATGCGCATCACTATCAAATTATGGGAATGAAATTGCTACCTTGGCTTTGCAAAAAGGAAAAGAAATATGGAAGCTGATTTAATACCCTATATGTGGGGCGCTTTCGAGTCCCATCTGCAGTATATTGTTAAATGCGAGCTACCTGCGCTTGAACCTAGGAGAAATATTCGCATACGTGACTTGGCCCTTGCCGGCGAATGTCAACCGCCAAGTACACATACATGTTTACGATTTCACTCTAACACCTGTCTACTATAATGGCTCCGTTCTCCAAAGATAAAGAACTCTGCGACAAGCTCAAGATCGCCCCCAATGGCGACCTCATACCGAATTCTTCAGTTCTAACAAGACCGACAAAAAAAAAAGCATCTTCCTGGTGAGCCCAGACTCGGATTAGGCGACAACGGAATTTCCGAATATCTCCAATACAAACTCGGTGACCTACGTCTTTCGCGCCTAAATTTCTGGGTCACAATTTTCCTCGGACACTCTACATATCAGGATGTACATGGGTACTACAGTGCGCATTTCGCCCGTTTCTACGGCCCTTTATTATTTATCTTTGGAGTCTTAAATGTTTTGCTATCTGCTATGCAAGTGGCATTGGCAGTTGGCCAACCCCTCGAAGATAGATTATGGTCGGTGTTTGCTTATACCTGTCGCGGATTTGCGATATTTGCGATTATTTATGTGGCTTTTATCGTAGCCTTCCTTCTATCAATGCTAGTCTCCCGATCTTTGCGGGAGACTATTTACGCTCTCAGGGATCGTTATTTAAGGCAGGGAGCGAATAAGGTGGGTATCGTTGCGTGACATCCTTTTATTCAGAAATCCAATCTTTCAAAATGACTTTATGCTCCCTTCAAAGTATTAGACGCATTGCTAAAGAGTAGTCGTTATTGCTTTCTGAATGTTCTAGGAACTCCCCTGCAGCTGCTTGGTCTAGGGCGTTCCGACAAAAGGGATCGATGGGCGACGTTGATTGTGTGTACTCCTGAACAAGTCTCGGGAATCTTTTTCCCATCTCGTCTAGATGTAAGACACTGCACTGCTGGCATAGCGAATTCACCATTGGCACAGTAGTCTAACCCCCTTTAGTATAGTAGTCCTTATTTACTAGTATAAGAAGTTAAGAACTAGTTTATTATAAACTGTTCTTGGACCGAAATTTGCGCTCCTAGTACTCCCCTAATGTATGCAAAATATAGAGGCTGAACGGCGGCAATTGCCTGGGTCCGCTAACAGGAAGAGCTTAATACTTATGCTGTAGTGTTTGTTGGAAATTTCGGCTGTAACTAAAGGTACTAGACTAGCCCGAAAGCCGAAAGAGAATAAGGACAGGAAAAAGAAAAGAGAAGCTAAATCCCAAAACGGTCAAAATGAGGCCGCGTCAGTATAAAACCTTGGAACTCGGAAAACCCTGGAAACGGTTGACTAAGCCCCGAGCTGCGCCACTGGAACTCTTTCTCAATTCCGGCGCTTCCTTTTTATCTTTCATCTACTCTCCTCTCTCTCTTTATTACGCAATATTCGAGTTCACAATCCATCCGAGAAAGAAATAGCCCCTACATCCACACTTACAGCGCAATCTCCCCAAATCCGCACCAAGTCTGACATCACCGGGAACTCCACCTTCAAGTTCCACCATGTCTTACAACAAGCCCGTAAGTACCCCGAACAATCAAGAACAATCAATCGCAATCAATAATCCTTAAAACACAAATCCTAAATACTAATTTCCTCTAGACAAGCCCACCACCATCCTACCCCGCTCAAACCCACGACGCAGGCCCTTACTACCAACAACCGCAAGGCCAAAGCCCCGGTGCCGCAAACGACTACTACGGCGGGGGCCAGCCCCAACAGCAGGGGTACTACCCCTCGCAGCAAAACTATGGCCAGCCCCAACAAAACCAGCAGGGTTATTACCCCCAGGGCCAGCAGCCGATGTATTACCCGCCGCAGCAGCAGGGTTACCCCCCTCAACAACAGCAGCAGGGTTACTATGCCAATGACCGCGGACGCTCTGGCGGTGGTGCAGGTGGTATCTGTGCGGGTATCATGGCTGCGATGGCTTGTTGCTGCTGTTTGGATATCTTGTTCTAGGCCTATTTTAGGTCTTGGTTTTTGAAACGCGATACGCGACTACGTTACGTTACGTTACTTTGGGGTTTGGCCTTTTGGTTGGTGTTAGAGTGGCTTGTTGAGTCGCTATGCCGTTCACACACTACACTCTTGAAAAATATCGAGAGATAGAGGCTGGCGTTTTCAAGCTTCCTGGGATTGGCTTTTGACTCGGGGATTTGGTACTTTGTGAATCCTGGGTTGGGAACTGGTCTCGGGTGTGATTGTTCTTTTTTTTTTTCCTTGTCGCTCACCTCGTATATATATCCTTGGCTTTCATTACTTATAGCTGGCGCAAAACAGGACACGGCGTTCTTGGGTCCTGGTTGGGCCTCAATTGTACTACAATTTTATCATTTACACTTTTTGTTCACTCTCCCTCGAATTGGCTTATGATGTTTTACCTAATTCATTCTTTTCCCTACGCATAAAATACAGTCCGACGATAGGTGTAGGCAGAAATTTAGTAGATTGGGTACATACAACTTTAAGGGAAATACATGCCCATTTTGATGCCAAGGCAGAAGCATTCTCATCCATCGTTACAACCTTGTAATTAAAGCTCTCTATAGGAATAGGAATCTGTTAGCATATTTTTAGAAATGAAGTAATCTTGCCATTTTATTTCTAGCGGGGTTCCATAGACTGGTGTTCGAGGTATTCGTTTTGTGAGTCATGAAGGATTCTCCTCTTCGTCAAAAGGACTACTGCCTCTAGGAATAAGTTTGCTTAGCAAATGAGGTATTTTTTGGCTGGCCTTTGGTATCGGAACCGTTGCCGGAGATACCGGCATGTTCGCTTTCGTTTTCGTTCTGGACTCGCTGGGGGCGGGCGTAGAACGGGGCTGATATTGGTTGGAGGCGACGAGTCAGAGGGCTTTGATTTCGACTTGAGCGTATTCATTTCTGGAATAGTGTAGATAGACTGCATATTCACTATCATGAGTCATATTTGAGGTAATAAGAATCAATTGCAGAACTTGCCTGTGTGTCCTCCGAACAAGATAACAATCCAGAACGCCATTGAGGAGCCATAGAAAGGAGAAACGATGGGAGAAAAAAAAAAGAGGAAGATAGAGAGTGAAACGTAGTGTCGTCCACCAATTAGATTGGATGGTAACGATTTGGATGAGACAGATTGATGTATCAGTTAGAGAGAGGAGGAAGGAAGAGTAGATATGGTCGTCGTACCACACGAAGAGCCTATAGTACCTTTGACAGATAACATTGGATGGAGGGATCAGAAGTCATATGACTTCGTAGCATCTAGAACATGTTTTGTTAAAGCTAATAATTGGAAGACTCTAAGATCTCGCGTGGCTACGATATTGTTTTGCTAGTGACCTTGGGGAAAGTACGACTAGAGGGAGTCCTTTCCTATTATGTGCGTAAAGTACCAAGGATAACTGTAGGAGTAGATGGCTTCAAGGGAAATACATCATAACCACAAGACACATGGACGAGATTGTTTCTAAACTTCATATACTCGAAAGCCTTTTAATTTAACATCCCCGAAGGAAAGGGCTCTAGGACTCTGATCAGGGTTGCACAGCATCATGTGATTGAGATGATATTGAATTGATTTCCAAAATATCTTGTAAATGTATGTATGTATGTATGTATATGGTAGTTATGTAGGAGTACATTATTAGCAAGGCGCCAAATAGAAAGAGTGCCAACCATGTCCAAGCCGATGTAAGTGTCCAAAAGATCTCGGGTAACATCTCCAACATCAACGCTAATAATCGCATGAGGGGGAATAAAAAAAAGAACAGAAGTAGTGAACAGAGAAGAAAAAGGTATAGGGGTATGCGGGATGTGTACATAGTCTCAAAAACCAAAAGAGACTCCAGCCAAAATATTCCATGTACAGGAGACAACAAGCCTCGACCCAAAGTATCCAAGAAAGAAAAAGACAAAAGAAAAGCCAGTCGTCACATCATATCATATCACATAACATCGCCACAATCTTGGAAGTGTAAAGTGTCAATGATCATGTCGTGATAACAACCCGCCAACATCATGAAGCTCGACATCAGCATCGACCGTCATATCCGAAGACGCGGACAGCGATAGAAAACGAGAATTCCCAAACGCCGAAGCCGGAAACGGCAGATCTGCAGGACCAGGAAGTGTCGGCCGAAGGCCATGCGTAACTCTCGGTCCAAAAATCCCCAAATCCTCTAAAAAGGCCCTACTCCCGCCGCCTCTGCGACGTTGCGCAGGCTCTGAAGGCGTGGACAACGTAGTCTGGGCACGCACATGATCAGCCCCGGATTCAGGGAGTGCTCTTGTCAGCAAACCGCCGACATCAGAGAATGACACGCGGCGCGACGTCTCTGATAAAGGCGAGATCTCGCGCGGGGACTCGTTTGTGCGGAGGTACTCGAGCGGCGTGACTTTTGGCCCGAGACTGTCTGTCGTGGAGGCGCGGTCATCGTCTGAGCGACGGGTTGTGGAGAATGACCATGTTGGATCGAGGGTTCCCGTGCGAGCGACTGCTAGTGGGATTTGAGATCGTGGTAGTTTCGGTACACGAGTTCCGTCCGAAGTACTGGGGGCTGTGTAGATATCTGGATCTAGACGAATACATAGACCGGTTGCTAGTTCCGAGTCCGAGCCCCATTGGTTTTGCATGACTGTATTTCTGCGGAGGAAGGATTTGTCCATGCTTTCGGAGACGGAGGCTGAGCCTTGAGCCCGTTTGTATTTCAGTTTCTTGACGCCGCGGTCTCGGACGAAGGAGCCTATTACTAGGACGTTTGAGACTGCTGTTGCGGCGAGGATTTCGAATGAGGCAAGGAGGGAGCGGTATGGTTGGGAGCCTCGATGTTCGATTACGGAGGGCACACGGTAGCATGTTATGGCCACCAATATCAAAGATAGACAGAAGAGGGATGCGAGGGCCAGGCGGCGCTTGAGAGGCATTTGCACCATGAGGATTATGGGGACTGGGATGGCCACGAGGAGGAGGTCGGTTATCACGTCGCAGGTGCCCATTGTGATTAGGTTGACGTAGCCGGTGCGGCAGGTTGGGCCTGGGTCTGGGGTGACCTGCCAGTAGTGGACAAATGGTTGGCATTCAGCCAGGGTTGCGATGACCACGGCTACTAGGGTTGATAAGAGGAAAAAGGAGATGAAGCGGAGGAAGAAGCTTGTTGACCGGCGCCAGGTAACCCCTGTGACTCGCTTTAGGAATTCGCACACAGTCACTTTGGCGGTCCAGATGCTGTAGTTTGTGAGTCACTTTGAACTAGCAGATCCAATGTAAAGATGAGGGCGCATTGGGTGCATCTTACAAGATGGCATAGAAGATACGCGCAGCAAGAACCAGCTTGCTGCCTAGCTCTCTGTTCGCTATCTCCTTCTCTGAAAAGCCTGTGGTGGTGGTATTGTTGGTTCCCAAGACGAGAACGAAATGCACGAGGACCATGCGAATTATCAGGGGAATGACGGCGATCATCATGACCTTATCCTCGGCGAAAAGGCGCTCAACGCGAATATAACGACCACATAGGCGCACAATAATGATGACCAAGGAGAATATAGTAGCCCACCAGCTCATCATAAGCGTCGGATTGATGTCGTTTCTAGTCTGGAAGGCTGGCGGAGTCTCGTGATAAATGCCACGCGTGACTAGCGACACGGCCATGGAGGCCATAGAGGCCATAATGTCGGAGTAAAATCAGCGCACAGAAAAGCGATTCAGGACGTGCTTTTACATTGCTCCTCACACGTGGGAAAGTGTGGGGATGTTTTTAGGTAAGGGTTATGGGGCGAACTGCGGAGACCAAAATGAAGGCTGGACGATCCTGAGATCTAGAGATGAGAGAAAGACGATATAATAACATATTGTAATCGGAAGAGATAGGGGGGAAATTAATAAAAGAGTTTCAACAGGTTAAAATCTCCCACCGATGAAAGAAGAGGGGAAAATGATCAAGGATGACCAGATAAGCCAAGCCTCCCATATAAAACAGCCAGTGACATTCGACTGGCTAATCTGGGAGATTCATACTTTTTTTTAAACGTCTCACCTTTCAGATCTATTGAAAGATAATACGTGCCCTGGGACAAAGAAATCAACGGTCCACAATAGCTTAAGCAGGGCATTGTAAAATTATACAATTGTACAATATTCCTCCAATGAGGGTTACTAGATATACCCTGTTAGAACTGAACCCTGTTAGGAACGGAGGGGACGGGACTTGGCTTGTTATACGAAGGGTTTGCGGTGTATGGAGTACACGTGGACTATTACTACTTTCATGATAATGCGTGTACATGTGTTCATATCCACAGATGAACAGGGGGGATATAAAGAGGCAAACCTTGGAAGAAAATAGCTCCGATAAGCGAATAGCCCTAGGGTGGAATGTTCTACTCCGTACATGTACAACATATGGAGGAGTACTTTTACTCTGATATCGGCTTTTAGCCCCCAACCTTGGAATCATTTTCAACAGGTTATCTACTCCGTGCCTGCTCCGTCGGCCGATGTTATCTCCCAAAACCTTATGATTTTCAAAATAATTAATCGCGCAACGCTCATCCAACCACAGCAGCCGCCGAGTCTTCCCGCCTCGCTTCATCCCGAAGCGACTCAATTCCAGACCCAGTACGCAGTCCACTCAACACAGTCCGCAACTCCTGAAGGAACTTGGTAACTTCCGCCTCCGTACCGACCGTGATACGAAGACAGCCCTCACACCCAAGTTCTTTCCCACGGAAGCGGACGACCACACCACGCTTCTCCGCCATAGCCTCGTAAGCCGCAAGCGCAGTCACGTTACTTGGTCGGCCCTCGGCGTCCAGAATCTGCACGAGCAAAAAGTTCGCGTCACTACCGCCAAGGAATTGCCCCACACCGGGGATCGTCGGTAGGTCACGGAGCAGACGGTCGCGTTGCGCGATGATCTGCGAGCGGAAGCGGTGCATCACTGCCATATTGGGCGCCGTGAGTGCCGCAGAGGCAAGCGCGCTTGTCGGGCTGGAGATGTTATAAGGGGCCTTGAGGCTGTTGAGCAGACGCGCGACCTCCACACTGGCATAGGCCACACCGAGACGGATACCGGCCAGACCGAAGGCCTTGCTGAGTGTCTGCATGACAACTAGGTTGGGCCATTCGGTCACCCACTCTGCCAGACTAGAGCCTTCGGGCGCAAAGTCGATATATGCTTCGTCGACCACCACGATGCCGTTCCATGTTGGGTGTTCGAGGACCTTGCGAATGTCCTCCTTGCGAATCAGATTCGCGGTCGGGTTGCCTGGCGAGCAGATGTAGGCTAGCTTGATTGATGGGTCGGCTGATAGGGCCTCGTTGACTTTATCGGCCTGTAGGTGGAATCCGTTCGTAGCGTCGAGTGGTACCTTGACGATCTCGAGGTCGTTTACCTGCGCACTGACGCCGTACATTCCGTAGGTCGGGGGACATGTGAGGATCTTGTCTTTGCCGGGGACGCAGAAGCAGCGTAGTAGCGCGTCAATGGCTTCGTCTGAGCCTACACCGCAGAACATGTGCTCGGGGAGGAGGGTCTTCGGGGTGTGGTGGTGGGTATTGCGGAGGTTGCAGAAGAGCTGCTTCAGCTCAATCTGGTGACTGGGAGGCGCATTGTTAGTTCATATTGATCTGAGATGCGACAGTACGATTTCACTCACGGATCGGGGTAGCGGTTCAGGCCGAGGAAGTCAATCTCCGGGTTGGAGGCTCCCGTGGCATTGCCAGTCTGAGAGGATTGCAATGCTCCCTCGCTGTTCAGGGCGAGACCGGGGCCGAAGGCATTCTCGTTGGCGTCGAGGAGGACGTTCGTCCCATCATCTTTGTAGTCACTGACTCATTAGCTCGCCGGTACCGGTGATTCGGAAAGGGCAGCACATACTCTCTGGCGCATCGGTAAGGCTGCAATGCCAGGATATTAGGACGGGCGCATGTCGCCAAATTAAAGGGAGATTTTGAAGCCATTGTGGTGAGGAATGTGAGATGTCGAAGTTCCAAGGTTGGTGGGGAGCCCAGGTGGGGGATTTTATCGGCACTCTATGACTCAAATGCCGATCTATATACACGCTATGTATTAGAGTCCATACTTCCAAATATTCATTTTAACATATGAGTCTATTAGTGGGGTTAGCATCCGGTAAAAATTCTTATCAAGACTTGAAATTATGAGTCCTCTAACATACCGTGGCCAAGAAACCTGGTGAGAATGCAACACAGTGTAGAAAACGCGTATCTAACTAACATCACAGATTTCTGCTGAGGGTAACTCAAAAGAAAACAGAGCTACCGAAGGATTTCATTTAATAAGAGTTTGATAAGGAATATTAAATAAACTAAAAGAATGAAAGTACCTAGCATATCGCTACATATAACTTCATACATAGTGTCTATTCTTAAATTATTGTCTTTCTTCCACGTTAAATATCGAGAATTAACACTAGCATTGAGTGAAAAAGGAAGAGAATCTGCAAAATGAATGACCAGAAGAGCCGCTCCCAAATCAGATCTAGTCCAAAGCCTAATACACAGTTCAATCCATCGTGCCTACCTAAATAGGCAACTTCCTCAAAAGTCTACACTTTCTATTATTTATAATCGAGACTCTAATGCTAGCTTCAGCCAACCCCGGATAGATTATTAGCATGAAGTTGGCTGGAGCTCGTCTAAGGCTGATTATGCATCCTGTCGGTTCCTAAAATTGTGAACAAAAAATACAACTATTCTTGTCACATCTTATGTTGCACACTGCATATGCGACCGAACACTCTTGCCAAATTTCAATGATCGACTTGAGTATTGGATACAGCCCTGGGTTCACTGGTGGATGGATGGTCCCGACGTGATTACATAATAACCATGTCCCCGAGGTCGGCCCTGAGTGCATCCAAGATAGGTAATTTGAGCCTTCAACTCGACGACCACAAAAAAATAGACCTGCTCGAGAAATCAACCGTTCAATTCTCTATATCAGGGTGCCCATTCTAGCACATTCATTTCGACTACCACAACCTAGAGCCACAATTGCTTATTCCGCATATTTCCGATCTCATCAGCTCAAAAATCACTTCACACTCGGTTTTATGCATGTTCTTCGATATTGGTGACTCCTGCGTCTGTAGTGAACAATATGGCTTTTGAAGAACCATCCATATTACCGGTAGACATCATGGAGTCCCAATTGTCCACCATTGACCTTCTAATGGCGATGTTCCCGTCTCCGGGCGAGCTGGAAATCCCCGAATCCACAACGCAGTGTGTGGAGAGACTCCGCGACTGGTGCGAGAATCCGACCTCCACACCTCCTAAAACCCCCTCAAGTATCTCTCTTACCGTCTGTCTACCAATTGCGGACGGGGATAAAACGATACAAGTCAATATTTCTGTGCCACTACAATGTGATAATCCAGAGACACTTGACCAATCACCGTCACTGGGCTATTCGCTTCGACAACCAGAGTGGATGTCCAGAGCCGAAGTTGCGGGACTTACGGCCTCAATACCGCAAGGCGATGATGCTTTAGAGGCATTCGAATACATCCAAGCAGAAGCCAGCCGCTTCCTTGAAAGCAAGCAGTCTCAGACTGTGACCACAGAAGACACAGACAGAGGGCCAACTGTGCGAGTGTGGTTCTATTTTCCGTCCCTGTCAACCCGTAAAAAGAGGGATGATATGGTCAACCTCGCACCGGGATATGCCCTGACGGGCTTTGTGCTAGCGGGAAAGCCAGGTGTATTGTGTCTTGAGGGTGCTTCATCTGATATCGACTCTTATATGAGTTTCATTAAGACACATTCCTGGGGTGATATCCCTAGTCATCAGAAAAAAGTCAGCGAGAGGTTCCGGGAGACAGAGGGGGTTCAGAGAGTGTTTCCGGGGATGGAGGAAATTACAGACTCGCTGGGAGAGCGAGGTGGCCAGCGGGCTAACCGGGGCGATATGCAAGCACTGGAGGCGTGGTTAGGGAGTAGAGGACTACAAGAAGCCTTTGACAAAGTTATATTCTAGGTGGTCATGTAGTCCGCCTTGCATTCTGCACATCTGCTTTATTGCTGCAGGTGGGGGTTCTTTCAATCTCAGGGCCATATAAAGCCAGTCTCACTCCCTCGTCCGATGATAGATACGTGTACCTAGGTAACTATACGTACTAAATTTCCTCTGAATTGTGGGGCTTTCCTATCTTAGTCGTCGATTTGCACATATTGGGCTGTTTCACCTATTCACCTATGTTCTAGTCACAACACCGGCCTGGAGGGCCAAACAAAAGATCTTCAAAAACTTTACTCAAAGAAGCGCCTCAAAGGCCACATAAGAGACAGACTCTTTTTGGCTTTGTAGTTCTAGTCAACTAATTTAATTGGTGTCTGAATAGCGGGGCCTGAATGTCAAGATTATCGCCGCGACCCCAAGGTCCTCCAACATACTCGCCGACTAAAAGTTGGGGCAATAAATCAGAATTCCGTTTGTGTAGCACTTAATGTCCGATATACCTCCGCTATGTATGGCTAGATGTGTTTTATCGTTACCCTTCACTTTATACACCCTAGGATCCAACCTTGTAAGCTAGGACTATATATGTGCAAGGATACCCTTTTGGTTCATGTAATTGTTCATGAACTTCGGATAAATCGACCAATTACCCAAATTACAACATCTACTTGTGACGAAATGTCTCCCGAAGAAAAAGCAGATGCCACAGGCAGGTATTTCCTGCCTCGCAACGTGGAAGAAGCAGAGCGCATGCAAAACCAGCATGAATGGCTCAAAGGCGGTGCCAATGGGCTTGTGCTAGCGCCAATTGACTTGAAGCGTCGTGGCATGCGTGTTCTCGATGCCGCTACAGCTGATGGTAAGTCATTTACGACCTTGGGGGCAAAAGAGAATACTAAGATTTGCAAGGTTACTGGATGCAAGATGTGAAAGAAGTCTTTCCAGAAGATACCGAATTTCTTGGCTTCGACAATGCGTAAGCTAATATATTTGCTACCATCATCTCTATACTGACGATAACCAGACCGGAGGGCTACCCACCTCTCAGCACAGCCCCTCCCCTCAAAATCGTTCAGCAAAGCCTAATCGAAGATTTCCCTAATGACTGGAGCAATGCTTTCGACTTCGTCCACCAAAGATTCGTCATCCCATTGTTCAAAGCCGAAGAGGTCCCACTAGTACTCTCCAACTTGACCGGATGTGTGAAGCCAGGCGGCTGGATCCAGCTTGTTGAAATGGATTTCCAGACCCCAGTATCCGAGCCGCTTGAGTCGTGCAAGGCTGTTCAGACAGTTCACAAGTTGACCAGCGGTGTGGTCTCGGATCCTCTAGCTGCAACAAAGCTGGCCGGAAGATTGTCTGAGAATGGCTTTGTTAATGTTGGATATAAGGCTGTTAATATGGTTGCTGGGTCAGCAAATCCTGACCGGGAAATGGGTGAGCGTGGTGCTCGTAACATGTTGTCGGTTCTTGGGTTCTTCCAGTCTGTTGCTAAGTACGTTCCCTTTGCTTTCTGATATCCATGAAGGAATGCTAACAGGATAGGCCTGAAATGATTGGCCTGACAGAAGAAGAGTGGACGGAGCTGCCTAAGCGTTTTGCCGAGGAGATGGAGAAGTATAAGGTTGCTTTGAGGGTTTACTTTGTTTGGGGCCAGAAGCCCGAGAGCGCGCAGTAGACAGAATCTTAGAATCTATGAATCTACAAGCTACTATTTAATTTAGAAATTGATTCGACACATGTACTGGTTGTATTAAGGTGTCAAGCTCCAGAATTAATAAGTGAAATGAGAGTAAGTATACGAAGGGGCCGGGGAATATCTCGGCTCTTAACAGGAGCATATCGTGTGATACTTCGGATGACCTGCATATCATCAACCTTGTGGGTTAACTGTTAGTTCAATCTTTTCTTTAGAAGTTGAATATATTTACGTCAACCTGCTCCTCATTTCTCCTTCAGTTCCATCAGACACGCCAAAATCATCCCCCACTACTCTCTCCTCATTCCATCTTCTACCTATTCAAGATGAGTGCCGAAACCGGATACTTTGACGTTCTTATCGTGGGCGGTGGTCCTGCTGGCCTTACAGCAGCTCTCACTCTTGCCCGTCAAAACTACAGCTCGGTCATTTTGGACTCCAAGACCTACAGAAACGACAAAGCTAGCTTCATGCACTTAATTCCCGGTTTCGATCATGTGAGACCCTCCGAATACCGCGATAAAGCCTTGGGAAACATTCTCGCCAATTATCCACAAATCACGAGCCACGAGGCGACCATTATCAAAGCCGAGGGTCTCACACCTGGCGGCTTTGCTCTCACAGACGAAGCTGGAAAAATATGGTCTGGCAAGAAGCTGATTTTGGCAAATGGTGTTGAAGATATCTTCCCTGAGATCGAAGGTTATGCCCAGGCATGGGGAACTGGAATGTGAGTTTTCCTGTCAATCCCAGACCACCATCTAACGCAAAATACTAATTAATCAAGCTTCCATTGTCTCTTCTGCAAAGGTTACGAAGAAAAGGGCGCTGATTCAGTTGGGGTTCTTGCCATCGGTGGCCTCTCCAGCGCTCCCTTTGCTCTCCATGTTGCCCGGCAGGCCGCTGCTTTTAGCAAGTCGATCACTATATACACCAACGGCTCCGACGACCTAGTTAAAGAAGTCAGTACTGCTGTTGGAGAGACAGACAAGTTCAAGGTTGAAAACCGCAAGGTTGCTTCTATCTCAAAACTAGAGCCCAATGCATCTGTTTCTATCAAGCTTGAAGACGGAACTTGCTTGGTCGAGGGATTCCTTGCGCACACACCCGAGACAACGCCCCGAGGCTGCTTCGTGAAGGACCTCGGATTGGAACAGACTCCCAAGAGTGACATTAAAGCAGGTCCTCCCTTCTTTCAAACCAATATCCCGGGTGTATTTGCGGCAGGTGATAGCTGTGGAATGATGAAGAACGTGCCCAATGCAATCTTCTCAGGGTCGCTGGCTGGAATGGGAGCTTCGTTCCAACTTTCTGCAGAATCGCTTGGACAGAACTCATTGTTTGGATAGTTTACGATGTCGATCATCTGATGGCTGTATTTTTCTCAAACACCCATTTTAGTTCTAGCTCAATATTCACAATTGAAAAATGTCCAATTTAGAGAATGCGACGTGTAACCTACACATAAATCTTGAGATATCTCTACAAGAATAAAGATCCGACCCTTTAGATTGAAACAATCAATTTTGCCATGTTTGCCCCAACATAGCATAGTCGCCGAAAATAATCTCCGGCTCAAGGAAAGCTTGGTATCTACCCAACCTCAAATACTGTATCATAAGGCTTTGATCAAGAGCTGCGCTGTCACAAGTTGTGAAAATTATCCTGCCCTTCCTCTCCTTCCTCTTCCTACGAACGACCCAAGCCATGAAGCCAAAATCCTTGCCCAGAGATCAGACGACCTTGATGGAGCAAAAAATCAACCATAACCCCCTCTGGTCTTCCATTCAAAACTACGCAAAATGCCAAGCAGAATCAATCGCCTGCTCTCAGGAGGGTCAAACATTGAGGTATGGAGAGCTCGAATCCGCCTCCTTGTCTTTGGCTGCGCTGTTTCATTCAGTTGGAATTAGGGCGGGCGATACGGTTCCCGTTTTTGTCTCCAGGAATCTGGAGACGGTGGCGACAATTATAGCACTACTCAGACTCAGTGTCTGCTTTGTTCCGATGGACGGGGAATCCTGGAGTCAATCTAGAGTCGATTCCGTGTTGCGGGCTGTCGAACCGAAGATTGTTATCATGGCCCAGTGGACCGATCTTCGAGCAAACGATACCCCCGTTATTACGACAAAGGAGGTTCGAAAGGCATTTGATGAGGAACAACCGGATTCTTGCGCAGAATTGATGGCAGGAATTATCGATTGTGCAGGGAGCTCAGAAGAGCCAGTCTATATCATCTTCACATCTGGAACGACTGGAACCCCAAAGGGGGTGATGATTTCTCGCAGATCCGTTGAGAATTATATCTCACAAGGTATTGATCGCGGAATGCCTTTCAACTTGGGAGTTCGCAACCATGATACGGTGCTGCTTTTGTTTTCTTTGGCATTTGATGGTGAGAATTTGTTTCCTTGGACAAAAGAAGATAAATATACTAATATGAGCCCATAAAAGCGGCCTGGGGTGTCTTCTTTAGCACTATCTGTCATGGTGCTCATCTAGTTCTCTCAGAACCTCAAAACGTGTTGAAGGATGCAAAGCGATGCACGATTCTCCCTGCGACACCGTCACTTCTAGCCACTCTCGGAGACCCCGGACAATACAAAAACATCAAGTCAATCTTTCTTGGCGGGGAATCGCCAAATGCAACGGTCCTACAAAAGTGGTGGAACGAAGGAGGAGTAATCTACAACTGCTATGGACCGACAGAAGCAACTATATGTGCAAGCATGGCCGAGATAAGACCTGGTATTCCTATTAATCTGGGCAACGCAATGTCCGAAACGCAGCTCTTGATCTTGAATGACCAACTGGAAGAGTGCGATGAAGGGGAGCTTCACATCAGTGGGCCTGGTCTCGCGATTGGGTATTATAAAAATGAGGATTTGACAAGCGAGAGATTCTTCGAACGGAATGGGATTCGAGTTTATGCCACTCGTGATCGAGCTCGCCGAAGTCCTGAAGGGATTGTCTTCTGCGGTCGAGAAGACAGCATGGTCAAAAATCGAGGCTTTCTGGTCAATCTCGAAATGGACGTCATTCCCATTTTAGAATCATATCCTGGTGTCCATGCTGCTGCTGCTTTCATGCATCAAGGAAAGCTGATTGGTGCAGTAGCCCCGGAGATTGTCGATGTAACTGAGATGCGCCTTCACCTGTCCGAGAACCATGATCAATTCATCGTGCCTGACCAGATCTTGGCGCACAAGGCACTCTGCCGAACATCAAATGGCAAGATCGATACACAAGCATTGAAGAATAATTTCCTTTCTACCAATTCTTCTGATGTCGTGTCTCTTACAGACTCCCCTTGTACGAAATTACAGGAGGCGGTTGCTGAGACTCTAGGTCTTGCAGTTGCATCTGTGTCAATGAAACGGAGCTTTTGGGAGCTTGGGGGAAACTCTCTCTTGGCAATCAAATTGATGTCGTCTCTGCATCAACAAGGGCGCATACTCCAGTTTCACGACATACTTCATCCGACTCCTTTGTCGGTGCTGTCTACAATGGTAAAGCCAATTGAAGCAAACGATATCACCCCCGACCTAGCGTTCTCGATAAAGACCGAGCAGACAATGTCGGCTCCAATTACCACAACACAAATGGGAATGATCAGATCGTCAATCCGACACTCTGAAGCGAGTTACATGCTAGTACGCGTTGCTTTGCCTTGGAAGCCCAAAGCAGGATATGGTGATCAGATTAGAGTTGCATTCGAATCAGTCATGAAGAGACATACCATTTTTTCAACCTACTTCGACATGGCAGATGGAACCCAAAAGCTGGACGCGAACTTTCATCATGACTGGCAAGAGCAGCTTCTGACCCATGATGATATACCTGCCGCTGTTAAGAGAAAGTCTTGTCGTTTGTTTGAATCCACCCACCGAGAAAATGACGATCACACCTATAGACCACTGAACTCTTTCCGGGTCATTGTCAACCAAAGTGCAACCGAGGCTAATCTGTTATGGCTTGTACATCATACCCGTGTTGACGGATGGTCCATGGGTCTTGTCATCCAAGAAGTTCAAGAAGTTCTACAAGGCAATAATTTGTCTTTGGATCCCTCGCAGTTTTCGCAAATAGCGATAGCTCTTCCGCAGCACCTCAATCTATCCCGCCAAGGAGGATTGCAATTCTGGAAGGAAGCGATGTCGAAAGTGGTGGAGGCCACTCCATTGACACTGCCCAAACCAATTGGAAACACAGAGGACAGACAATTGGGGGAAGCAAGGATTACAATAAACCTTGGAATACCTTCATTTAAACAGATCTCACGCATCAATGGTGTTACATCTGCAACTGTGATATACACCGCATGGGCCCTTCTTCTGAGGTCTTACACAGCACAAGAGCAGGTCGTTTTTGGAACAGTCTTTTCTGGACGCCATTTGCCGCTTCCCGGAATCGAAGGGGTCGTGGGACCCGTGATCAATAGCTGCCCATTACCAGTGTGCCTGACTGGGCTCAGCACCAAAGCATCTCTGCTGAAATATGTACAAGGGTTGGAGCTCAAGGCTAGTTCTCACCAATGGTCTGCCATAGAAGCACTCCAAGAGATTACACAAGGGACTTACTCAAAGTTATTTCAAACAATGCTATTTTTGGAATATGATCTTCCCGGCTTCACCAACAGAGATTGGAAGTTCACTCGGACTGATGTCCCTGAGTTTGGGCTCACGATCATTATTCGGCAAGAAGACGGAAACATCGGACTCAAAGCTATATTTGATCAGAATATGTACATCAAGCCCATGATGGAGAGAATGATGACGCATTTCCGGAATTTGTTCCTCGCCATACTTGATCCCGCTTGTGACACCGTGGCGCAGATACGGAAACGAATGCTTGAGCCTTGCGAGGCTCTCTCTCTGACAACTGCATCGCCAGATCTCTTGACTCCGTACTTTGGTCCTTCAAATCTCAAGGAGAGCTTTGAGAATGGGGTTGATCAGTGGCCGAATGACCTGGCAATTGAGTCTGGTACTCGAACAATGACATATAGAGAATTCGATTTACAGGCAAACCGTTTTGCCAGAGCTGTTATAGCTCGGGTGCCACCGGGAAGTGCCGTTGGAATCCTCAGCGACCGGAGTGTCGAGTGGCTCGTGGCTGTCATCGGCGTCATAAAAGCAGGTGCAGTATACGTTCCACTGGATATCAAACTGCCACTCGAACGAATGCAAATCATGACTCAAACCGCCGATGTGCAAGTTTGTGTGTTTCCAAACGACACATGTTATGCCAAATTCAGCGAGGCGTTTGCTGGAGAGAAACTCCTCCTATCGGAGTCGATGCAAACTTCCCAGGAATGTGCTCGATTGGAAAGAAGCCCAAACCCAGAGGATGTTGCATATATCACTTTCACGTCCGGATCGACTGGTGCGCCCAAGGGAGTTCGCATAAAACATCAATCAGTGGTTTCATATCTCTCATACGGGCCAGCTCGAATGGATGCCCGTCCAGGAAGACGTCACTCACAAATGTTTTCACCCGGATTTGACGTGAACCAGGCAGAAATTTTTGGTACACTCTGCTATGGCGCTACACTTGTTCTAGCAGATCCCGTTGATCCCTTCGCGCATCTGACACGAGTGAACGCAACTATGATCACTCCGTCGTTTTTGTCAGTATGTGAGCCTGAGCAATTTCCGAACCTTGATACTATTCTCTTTGCCGGCGAAGCTGTGCCCCAAGTGCTCGCAGATCAATGGGCTGATACAAGAACTGTGTATAACTCGTACGGGCCGTGCGAGTGCACCATAGGGTGCTTGTTCCAACCTTTGCAACCACACAAGGAAGTGACCCTGGGACACACGATTCCTCGAGTGGGAGTCTATCTCCTCGATTCGGAAAATAATCCAGTTCCAATCGGAGTACCTGGCGAGATTTGTCTAAGTGGTATTCAGATTGCGGATGGCTACATTGGAGCAGATCGGCAAGCCTTGTCGGAATCACGATTTATTCCCGATCCATTTGTGCCTGGACAGCGCATGTACCGAACTGGTGATTGTGCTATCTGGACAGAAGAAATGGAGCCAAAGTTCCTCGGGCGATTTGATAATCAAGTCAAAGTCAGAGGATATCGGGTCGAGCTGAATGAGATTGAGAATGTTATACGGCTTGCCAATCCAGGTGTTCGACGAGCAGCGGCCATTGTCAACATGGACAATATAGTGGCTTACATTGAGCCTGATACGATCGACATTCCTGCTCTTCAAGCAGCTCTTCGTGCCAAGTTACCTGGATATGCCTGTCCTTCCGCAATTTTGGCACTTCCCAGTCTTCCAACAATGCCGAATCAGAAGCTGGACCGCAAAGCGCTGCTTTCAATTTCTCATGCGAAACAGCCCAAAACAGCGAAACCATTGACGAAGATCCAGCTTTTGGTCGCTCAGGCTTGGAGGGAAGCAATTGGTATCAGCCAAGATATCGAAATCAACGCCAAAGCCGACTTCCTGGAGCTGGGTGGGAATTCCCTCAGCCAAATAAAAGTGGCACAAATCGTTTCGCGTAAACTTTGTTCCAAGTTACCGCTGAAACTATTTATCTGGAACACAGAATTATCAGCGCTAAGTGATGAGATTGAGAAATGGTTGGAATCTGCAGAGAAATCGTCGCAAAATACTTTTAGGGCGGCTTGGAGAGACATCCAATCGCCTTTTACCAGCCCCTCGGACTTGGAGAATGAATTTGTTCGCCTTTCATTTGAGTATCCCTCTGAGACCTTCAATGTCGGCTATAGGCTGCATCTTAGAGGCGATGTGGACATTGAAACTCTCGAAAATTCGATTGAGTCTGTTATGTCTCACGAGCCAGTTCTCAAAAGTCGCTTCCATGTCATTGCAGATCAGGTCCTGCGGGGCCAATCGTGCACTGCGTGCGAAATAACAAGAGGAAAAATGAGCGATCTTAATGTTGAAGCTTTCACTAATCAGTCATTTGATCTGTCGACTGGTCCTCTGACCAGAATCAATCTAAGTCAGAGTCTCGATGGCGTGGAGATGCTGTTTGTGCAACATCATGCCGTGACAGATAAAGCTGCCATTCAAATTCTCTTTCGCAGGATCCGGGACGAATATTTGAGCGTTTTGAATGGAGAGGCGAGATCGAACGAAAGTGCAGAATCCACACATGTGCCAGACTATACAATTTGGGCTCAATGGAAAGATTCCCAACCCCAGATAGGGATGGATGATCCAAATGTCGTATATTGGAGGTCCCGGCTCGCAGACATGCCTGTCCCATTATTCAGGAACCTAGATGGACGATCGAATTTTGTTGGACACTCCATGTCATTCGCATTGAAGACAAAAGCAAATTTCGAAGGCTCAATGGAGCTGTATCTTGCACTGACTGCAATGACTCTTTCGAAAAGCCAAGAAGCAAGGGATATGATCATTGGAATACCTCACGTCGATCGTACCGAGCCTGGTACGGAAAGCCTACTCGGCGTATTTTTAGATCGACTACCAGTGCGACTCAATGTGGAATCCACATCATTGGCATCCTTCTCGAATATTGTCAGCTCAGCACAAGCATCCATTCGAGATGCGTTGGCTCACTCTATTCCGTTGAAGAGTATTCGCCAAACTTTGAGCTCACATGAAATATTCCAGGTCATGGTTGTGTACAATCGACGCAAGGACTCGATCGCAAGCGCATTTTGTTTGCCTGATGTGCTTGTAAAGGAAGAAACCTTAAGACCGACTGGCGCCAAGTTTCCTCTTTTAATCGAGTTCACCGAGTCCGAGGAATGTACGATCTGCGAGTTTGAGTATATGGAGAATGTAGTCCATCCAACCACAGCTGGACATATTCGAGAAGAGATGGAAAATCTTGTGAACGATCTTGGAATCTGGTTTGGACTTTGATAACTAGAAACAAACCCATATCGTTGGTAATACACAATGTACGAATGTTGTGGAAATAACTACGTTACGCTCTATTGATTGTAGAATATCTTTATTTGCTCTACATTCATAAGCTAAAAGGCCTTGATATTTTGAAAAATAGAAAGAAGCAGTCCCTTGCTGCTGGCTGTGTCATATCCATACATGATGTCAAATTGATTGGATATATAGTCATGGAGAAGTGACTTTTGCATAGTTCAGGACACCAAGATGAATCCTTCTAAGAGCCTCATCTAGCTGATCAAGTGGGACACCGTAACAGATGCGGAACCATCCTAGTTCTTCAAAGTGGTAACTTGTTCCTGTTGAAACCGATAACCCCATTGACTTGAGATTGCCTAGAAGCCGCTGCTCCTCTTCAATGGTTTTGACTGGATACAACCTCGCAAAAACAAACATGCCATAGGCTCCGGGAATGAACTCCATTTCGCGTGTCTTCAGAAACAAAGTCATGACTTCATATGCTCTTCTAAGCCGTTTCCCTCCATGTTCACAAATTCGCCGGATGCTGTCTTCCTTGAGTATCGTTTCAGAGGCGAAGGTTGTTGACAAAGACGAGACTTGACTGTGAAGACTCAAGGCCGCGCTTAGGCGAACAGCTTTGTTTGATTGTGATATAAGTGCGCCCTGAAAAAAACGAAGCCTAAGGTTAGCAATTTCATATTTATGATCTCTTTGTTTCTAGAGCGACACACCAATCGGATACCGTTGCATCCAAAGTCCTTGCTGAGGCTGTATATAACATGGGTATTCTCACTCATATGGCTTTCACCCAATTGAAGAATGGACACGAAGGGGGAGCATCCGACAGGCTGGGGGTGGTGAGCGGAAAGCGCATATACTTCATCTGAAATGTAGTGCAGATCATGACGGCGGCAGAAATCCAACAGAGCCTGCAATGTTTCCCGTGGATAGCATTGACCTAAAGGGTTATGAGGATTGCAGACGAGAATAGCTTTGATAGGCATGGAGGCATTCTCAAGTGCTGACTCATAGTATTGAACACTCTCTGGACTGAAAAACTGCCAAAGAGGCATATGGACTGGAATAATAGATGCATGACCGTGGATACTGATCGATATGTCAAGACCAGCCCAGTAGGGTGCCGCGATCAGGATACCATCTCCGGGATTGCAAATTTGTTCGACAAGAGCTGTCAAAGCAAAGCTTCCACCGGCAGCAAGGATGATTTGAGAAGAGTCAACTTGTGTTGTTGGATGAAAATGGTTATTTAGTAGATTTGCAAGTAGGCTTCTTGTGTTTGGGCAGCCGCCAATGCCGGATGTGTACGCTAAATTCTACATTTTTATGTCAGCGGGTGACATTGAGCAGTCGGTTGAGCACAAACATCTTCAGAATAGCAACCTTTAGCCTCACGCATCATTTCTAGTACTATGCTTTTCACAGACCAGTTCTCGGCCGTGCTGAGGTCAATGACGGACATATTTCCCGAAAGCACCGCATCGTGCTGATTTAGGAGTCTTGGAATGATGGTTTGATTTCTGGAACTGCAGCGTGAAGAGAGCATATTGCCAGACTGGGAGTTGTTTCCGGATTCTGACAGAGAAAAAGCTGCTTGCGGCATATGAGTACTGTAAGCGAGCATCCGGGGGCTAGTATTCAGAAGATCGTTGAACTAGCTGCCTGAAAATGGTCGGGAGAAGGTTTAGTCGCCGAATTCTTACAATTACAAGCCGACTATGCTTACATGCGTATGGAGCCAACCTTGGAGCATTGGACTCCCACGAAATTGAATCGATTCTGGTATATTAAGTGCCGACAAAAGGTGACAGCAGTTTACATTGCAAACAACTAGAAGAAGCAGAGTGGAAATCTGATAGAATGGCGCTGGTATTGTGGAATGCCTTGTAAGTGCTTTTGATGTTATGTTGGATTGCGATTAACAAGACATAATAGGTTCTCTCCCTTCACAAAACTCTGGTACTCGGATGATACAGTGAGAATAACCTTTCATATATGACTTCAGTGTTTGTTTAACTAAATATCGCTGAAGCAGCCAGAGATCGAAGAACCTTCCGGCCAACCATACGAGAGTGACGCGGAATTATGGAACAACGAAGTTGGGAAGATGCTCAACATGATGCTTGAGCTAGCGGGATATCCTGAGAATTCAAGAACAATTCACTCGGAATTCTTTCGTGGGTCGGTTGCTCCCTCTTTGGGTCACCACCCCAGAGGCACTGGAGACCCATTGCACTGGAAAAGCTTCATGACAGACGATCATACCCCCGTCGAGCTGAGCTGGTGCTGGTCAACTGCTCTTGATACTCCCACGGTTCGATACTCGGTTGAGCCTATAGGGAAGTGGGCTGGGCAGCCAGTCGATCCCATCAACACCCTTGCTAGCCTACGGCTGCTTGGCGATGCTCTTCAACTTTCGCCAGAGATGGATCTTTATCTCCACCGACACTTTCAAAAGTCTCTTATGTCTCTAAAATCAAGTAATGAAGACCCCATTACGCAAAACCCTCAGTCTCAAAGCTTCATGGCCTTTGATCTGCTAGAAAAGACTATTGTTGTTAAACAATATTACCTGCCTACTTGGAGGGCGTTGGCAGAGAAGAAGACGAATTTTGCTGTTGTCGAGGAGGCAATTCTAAATGTTCCAGCACTAGGAAACTCCTTGCTGAGCTCCTTTAGTGTATTCACGAACTACCTTGAGTCATTCCCGGAAGAAACGCGTCCAGCGGTGGAAATCATGGCTATTGACTGCCTAGACCCTTTGAATTCTCGGATCAAGGTTTATGTTCGATCAAGCTCAACAACCCTAAAGAGCGTCTTTGATACTTTAACGATAGGGGGGAAAGCCCCCAAGAGCTCCGACGAGGAGGAATCGTTACGGGAACTGTGGCATTCGGTGTTCGGCTTGAATCAAGATCAAAGTGATGAGACACCCCTTTCGCAGAACGATCATCGAACCGGTGGGATTCTCTACTATTTCGAATTCAAAAGTGGTACACCAATTCCCAAGACAAAGGTCTATCTCCCTGTGAGACATTATGCACAAAATGACGATCAAATTGCGAGAGGATTGTCTGGGTTTTTAGACCGCAGAGGGAAGAAGTTAGCTGCTGGATCTTATCTTGAAGGGGTACAAACACTATGGTGAGCTATACAGAAATAATCTTGTCGTTTTCTTTACTGACTAGCTTTATGAAGCAAACATCGAAGCCTTTCTAATGGTCTTGGATTTCACACCTATGTCTGCTGGGCTTCTGAGAAAAATGCCTGGAATGTGACCGCATACTTCAACCCAGAAATTTATCACACAAGCCGTTATCTACAGTGATTATAAAATACAACTTCTGGCTTTGTGGCAATGGTGTTGCGTGAATAGCGATTGCTATAGGATCTTGAATAAATATGTGATATAGGACCTAAAAACTCTAGAAGTAGCTGTTAGTGGAAGTCTTCATACTATAGCAATACCAAAATATCAATAACTCCTCTAATTTTACAAAGATTTTCGATTTTGATGAACACAGGGACTTTCTACCTACAGTAGCCATTGCCCTAAATAGGAAAGCGTGTTTATTCGCCGAGCAATATAATATCTTGGCACTAGGGCTCATCGGTGAATATTTGTCTACAAAGCTCTACGTAGATCTTTTTTCTCGTTCTTATCCACATTGGGATAACAGAAATTTTGTTCGGAATCATTGGCTGATTCATTTGGTCTAGCTTTTTCTCAAATAATAAAACCGAAGACTACATCCGTTCGAAATCATTGTGTATAAACGTATCTGAATTGTTGATATGAATCTCCACAACCTCCCGTGCATTGAATTCCTAGTGGGGGCATTCTTACTATGGATAGTTGTTGCAAAAAGACATCATATTATTAACATCGTGGTGGGTTTCTTTTGCTTAGCAACCTTGCTTCTAGAAGCCTGCATGCTAACCGTTTCAAGATCTCTAGCGTTATATATCCAATCAAAAATGACGAAGGAGAGTCCATCCGAGGGCCAAGTTGGCAATCTTTAGATGGTCAATGCCTTGAAAAGTTTCTTGATGGGCGTAGTGCCAGTCAAGTTTGGCGTCAGCATGGTCCAGTGTATCGTATCTGGTCAGGATTTACTCCTGAAGTGTACGTTTTTATGGTTATGTTGAATCATGTCATCCCCCCAGCTGACAAGGCAAGCATAGTGTGGTAACAAGACCAGAGGATGTGAAGACTTTCCATGCAGATTCATCAAGCCACAGAAAGTCCCCCTCTAGTAATGGAGGCTGGTTCTTCCATCAGATGCTAGGTGACTGCATGGGCTTGATAAATGACCAACGCTGGAAGGAGGTGCGAGCGCAATTACATACATACTTCACTCATGGTGCTGTCATCAAATCCTGTGATTTTATCTCGGACTTCACGATGGATTATTTCCGATGCCTTGAGACCAAGGAAGCCAACACTATAAAGCCACAAGCTGTTACTTCCTTCTCACGCTTCCCTTTCTTGGCAACTGCCGAGTATATATACGGGCCATTGACAGAGACAGAAAAGGATCGGCTTTGGACACTGGGACAGCGAAGTCTTACACTTATGGTCCATGTTTTGGAAGGAGGAGTGTATCGATTCGGGATTTGCCGTTGGCTAAAGCCGAAACAATATCTGAAACTCAAGGAATTTGAGAAAGACTGGACTGAATTCAACGAGGCTATCGTGGAAGCGAGGAAGACCCAAAACAAGACCCCGCCAGTCGTGGAAGCATGGAGAGCAGTGGATGAAGGCGTGGTCGCCAAAAAGGAGGTACGTGTAGATTTCAGTATGAACAGCACCCGGTGTTCTAAATCTCTCAACCAGATGATTCAAACAATGAGTGAGATACTCTTTGCAAATCTCGATGTGTCAACAAATGTTCTGAGTTGGTTGATCATATTTATTGCCGAGGATGCAAGCATACAGCGGCAACTCAGGAAAGAAATACGAGCGAATGCTAGTCTCCGGGATAATTTTTGCAACAGCAAAGACTCATTACTGCACCTCTGCTTATTAGAGTCCATTAGGCTTCGGCCATTCACTGGTATGATGCCTCCTCTTATACCAATGCAGCGCTGACATTCTACAAGTTTTCACAATCCCGGAATATTCACCCCATAGTGTGGTCTTTGGGGGGTACACAATTCCTCCAAATGTGAGTAGTGCAGGAAAGCTCAAGAGAATATAGCTGATCAACTTCTTAGACAAGCGTTGTGGTTGACACACTGGCAATCAACTACAATCCTCAGTTTTGGGGAAAGAACAGCACCCAATTTAATCCTCATCGGCTCAAGGACGTATCCTCTACTGATGTGAGTGGATAATAGTTTTTTCATCTGAGCCTCTATCGCAGCTGCTAATGATATCAAGCTTCGATATAACTTGTTCACTTTCGGATTTGGCTCGCGAAAATGCCTGGGAAAGCACTTTGCAGAGGCAATGGTTAAGACTTTCGTTGCTGAATTGCTCTCTCGATATGAGATTCGCATTCCGAATACTGCGGCTGATGGTCAGGATATAAAAGAAAGGAAGGCTACCTGGGTGCCTATCTCAGATATCGAGATTATGTTAATTCCGGTCATCAATTAAGCTGTTCATCTTTGCAACTATAAGGACAGTCCATTGTGTATCTATTACATTTGAATGAAAATATCAAGTGACAGATCCTTGGTTTACTAGTTGATAGTTGATAGCAATATGTACAGAACAGCCTTTGACAGCCTTTGACTTAGCTGCCATTCTCCTGATTCCATAACAGCTTTAGATATTTATTCTTTGCCGTCCAGCTGGGCAAGTTCTTCTTCTGAAAGTCCAAACCGCGAAACCCTGTGTAATGCTCTTGCAACGGGTTTAAATGAGCTCATTTGCTCACTCCAAGCCATCAGCTTCGGCCACTCATTGAAATCAAGTTCGGCGGATGCTGCAATTTTCTCATTTGCCAAGGGGAGAATAGCGAAGTCTGCGATAGTAGGTCTGTCCGAAATTGCAATATAAAGTTGACCAGGCTCACTCAATCGGCTCTCCAGGAAGTCGTATTCGGTGCGAATGTATTTGACAAGGATAGAAAGAGACTCTCCAATTGGGACTGGCTTTGGGGTTTTCATGAGTAGCCAGATTTTGCCGGTAGCGCCGAGTCCGGCTGTGTATGACATTAACCAGTTCGTGATGATGGTTCGTTCGCATAGATTCTTTCCACGATAGAGACCTTCGGTGTCGTATTTCTCAGCGAGGTATGTCAAGCAGGCTGAGCTGTCGAAGATGTTTAATCTTTGAAATTCGCCGTTGGAGTCATAGACTTCGACGTCTTCTATCGCGGGGACCATTTTATAGGGATTCACTGCGTGAAACCATGTTTCGTTGCTCGTTGATTCGATGAGATGGATGTGGTGGGGAATGTTGAGGGCTTCGATCAGCATTAATGGCTTAACGGAGTTGGCGGTGGATGTCGGACTCGCTACATTCTATTAGCATATGTTCTTTTGTGAAAGCAGTTAAGGCGATCGGAGTCGAACCTTTCTTCACATAAAGAACAAGCTTGTCATCCGGGATGGATGGGCGAATAGCCTGACTTTCTGCGGAGGCGGACATTTTGGTTGTCGAACTATCAAATTAACAAACTTCAATCGGGAACAGGATTCTCTCTTAATTCAAACCTGAAAGGGCTTGAATGAACACCTTCTGGTTGGGGTATATTATGTTCAGCCCGGCGACTATATTGGTTCTCGAAAGAACCTAGTTAGCGGTTAGTCCCCGGATAATATCCAGAATGGAGACATATATTATGCCAAGGGGTTAACTTTCCGAAGTCTCCAAAGCAAGATATATCATCTCAACCAAATTCGAATGCACCAGTAGCCCGCATGGCTGCAATCACCCCCAAAGACCCTTACCGAGGCCCGCGCCATCAAGGCGAATACGACCGTCTTCGCACCCAGCATAGTCTCGTCAAGACTGCTATGCACGGAAAACTTCTTTATTCTCCCGTGAACTTTGATCAGCCCGATCTCCGAATTCTCGACTCTGCCACCGCTGAAGGAACCTGGCTGATCGACCTGGCCCAATCCACATCTTCGACAGCCACACTCATTGGCACCGATGTTGCACCTCAGCACTTTACACCTAAAGACCAAAGGCCCTCAAATGTGCATCTAACAACCCATTCAATCTTTGATATCTGGCCGGAAGACTTCCAAAACAGTTTTGATGTAGTGCATCAAAGGTTCGTATTAACAGTTTGCTCCGATCAGGCCGCCCAAGATGCGGTCAAAAACCTCTTGGCGTGTGTGAAGCCTGGTGGTTGGATAGAGCTCCATGAGGGGAATATGCTCTCAATTCAGGAGGGACCTAAACATCCGGCATTTATGCGATTCCGAGACATAATGGTGAAAGCATGGGCGGCTATCGGGAACCAGCCGAGCCCCGGAAACTTTTTACTATCCTGGCTGAAGGAAGCCGGTGCCGTTCATATACAAGAAGAGATTCAGACCATCGAGGTTGGTGCTGCGGCGAAGGATAGAGACCAGGGCGAGAGGGCTGTTGCGGTATTGCTTCACCTTTTGGACGGAATGAAGATGATGCTAGGTGGTGAGTCAAACCAAACCTTTAGATGAAGGATGGGTCATAGCTGATAAGTAACAGATAAGCCAGGCCAACCGACAAAGGCGGAATTTGATGAGCTTCGAATGCAGTTAGAGGAGGAGCTTCGAAGTGTAGGAAATACCTACTGTTATCATTTGGTTTGGGCCAGGAAGTCCCTCGGGCATTGAATGAATTGAACATGAATGCGAGACAGTGATCCAAAGTTAGCTTCGTTGCTGTAAGAACGCTCGAATTCTGCTTCCACCCTCTACGATGCCTTGAAGTACACGACAAAGAAGAAAGCAAAGTCATAGCGAAATTGAAAAAGAATTATGTCTTAATATATTTTGACCCCAAGCGTAATGTTGAGTTTGTAGCAACATTCAGTAACATGATATGCAGCAAACTATTTTTGTGTTTTATGTACTAGTTAAGAAGAAAGTAGAAGGAAGCATTCATTCTGGCACAGACTGATCATTGGGAGACAGAGAGACGGAGATCTAGAAGCAAAGACAAATCTTTCTTAATGGTAAAGCCTTAGGCCGCCGACACCACCTCAGGCTCTAGCGTTCCGCAAAGCCCATAAATGGGCCCGAACCCCGGGCCCAAAGCCTATTAAGGGGGTTTGCCTAGCATCTTATAATCGCTGTATTCTAACTTCCTACTTATTATATAGAGTTCAAATTTTTAGAATATCTAAATAATGCGCTTTCTCGCGTTTTTAAACGTGATACAGAGAGATAGCTAGTAATTGATTCTAAATGATTTAAGTTAATAAAATATTACCTTTAAAATAAGGCTTAGAAACGGGGGTAAAACGAAGGGTAATTTTAAAATCCCTAAACGGGGGTTTAGCCTTTAAATTCTTGGTGTATTTGCACTGTTTGGGGCCCAAAACCCAACCCATTTTGTGGGCTGGGCTGGGCTATGGGCTTTATGGGCTTTGCGGGCTTTGCGGAGCTCTAACCTCAGCATTCAATGAACTTTAGTTTCCGTGGGATGCTCCTCAACCAAGGCTTCTTCAATGGTTCTCTCCGAAGTCTCAGATCTGAGAGGCCAATAAAAGACAGCCACTATGAGCGCCGCACCACCTAGAACGCCAGTCAAGAGCCAAAAGGCGTCCCTGTATCCTTCCATGGACGCCCTGATTATACCATTAACATTCTCTTGTTTTGCATTTATCAATGCATTGGCTCCCGCGAGAAGAACGCTAGCGCCGACCTGATAAGCAGTGTTGAAGAGAGCACTTGCTACTGCATGGTTACCTGCCTCCACTTGACGAAGCAAAATGCTTTGAGCAGGAACCATGGCAACCGGGCTACCACAGACAAATATGATTGCGGCCACAATCGAGTACCAGTATCCTTGTCCGTGAGCAGTCCCACCGGCACGTTCGGGTGTCGCGAAAGCCCAGGCGACTCCACCTGCAGCGGTAATGACAAGGCCGACGACGAGGGTTGCCTTTTCTCCAAGGAATTTGACCATAGGGGTGGAGAGTGCGCCACTGACGATTGCGCAGAAAGCAGCTGGCTATTTTTGCAAGCATTTGTTAGTCAAGTCTGTTCAAATGAAGCATATTGCAGGCGTAGAAGATATAAGCGAAGGAGTGAACACTCACTAGAAAGTACACTGCCGTGAGAACAGGGGTATAACGGAGCAAGTTCACACAAAGCTGTGTGGTAATGAAGAACCATGAACTGAAGCTGCCACCAAAGGCAAATATAGCGACCAGCATGAGGAAGAAGGGTAATGACTTCCAAACATATAGAGGAACCGCTGGGTTCGCGACTCGCTTCTCAACAATTACGAAAGCAAGGAGCAAGCATATACCCAGAATAATCCCAACAAGTACTGATGGTGCCGACCAGCCAAGCCTCGAGCTGTCATTCAGACCATACACAAGAAGTGCGATGCCTGCAGTGAAAACCGAAGCACCGAGTACATCAATCGGTACCTTCTCCCTCGAAAACTCAGGGAGAAATAGACATGCTAGCACTGTTGAAATCGCAGTGAGAATCAGGCATAGCCAGAAGATGGATCTCCAGCCAGCAGGAGAGGCTAATAAAGGTTAGATGGCTATTTCTAGGAGATTCTCGATTGATGAAAGCTTACATGCAAGAAGAGAGCCGACCACAGTTCCAATAGTCGAGCCCAAAGGAGCGCAAGCTGTATATACTGCTAGTGCTTTGTTGCGAGCCTCACCATCTGCAAACTTCCGGCTCAATATGGCCAGTCCATTCGGAGCCTAAATAAGCAGGATATCAGTTTGGGTGACATAATATCAATTTGATCCCGATGCTACTCACAGTCAATCCCGCACCAATACCCGAGATGCATCGACCAGCAAGTAAAGCTGCTTTATTGGGAGCAGCAGTGTTGATAATGTTTGACACAGTGAGAATGGCTGTGCCAATAATGAATGTTCTCTCCAAGCCGAGTCGTTGACCTAGTTGGCCTCCGATTAGAAGAAAAGATGCGAACGTAATGTTGTACACAATCAAGACCCAGTTTATATCCTCAGTGGTAAAGTTCAAAGAGCGCTGGATATCTGGAAGACCGAATAGAACAGCAGAAAGCTGGAAAAGATCCAAAAAGTTTACCAATGTAGTTGTGAGGAGGATCAATCCCAAGTCTGCTTTAGGTCCTATCTTTTCACCAAGGTGATATGGTGGCTGCCATGTTTGTTTCGCCGTCATGATTGGGCGTTCAACCGTTGCGAAGAGCTCAGAAAGGATGAGAAAAGGAGTAGCTTTGAAAGTGGAGAAGGAAGATAGGATTGAGCACAACGGAGAGGGAAAAGCGCAGAATAGTTTCTGAAACAGGGAATGGAACCAACTAGCCCCCTAGAAAGTCCGTTCAATATAATGGAGAGGCGAATGAGTAGAAAGCTAACATTAGTGTAGACACATTCGGCCTAAAGAACACTATACACGTAGAGAATGCTTCCAAGTTGCACTCTCGCTTACATCAAATGGTGAGGCTAGGCCTCGGGGCCTTAACTGAGTACCTTTGGAGCTAAGCGGTACAGTGGCTAATAAAGATTGTCAAGGTTATTTATTTGCAATTTGACCTGCAATTTGTATCTGCCTATCGAGCCTTGAAAATTCATCCAGAGGTGTAATATAAGAGAGGATGTTGACATAATTTACTCCACAAGGACAATTGGCCTAGGAAGATATTTACGAGACGAATAGACCCCATATTAATTCTTGATTTTGGGAAATTCTACGTTTTAGCATAAGCCGCCACAATGGCTAGCCGAAGAGCGAAATGTTCGGAGACTATTTCGGGGACTATGTTGCTTGAAAGGTTTGACAACATGTTTCCAAATCGAGCTGTGTACTCCGTAGTTAGTGATTTATTTGACCCACCTCAAAGACGAAAATGCCCCATCGCAAAGCCTGTGCGTAATAACACCTGCCAGTCTCCAGAATGACAATTGGATCAAGCTTCATGGAACAAGCATTGGAAATATTGGGCTCAGTGCCTTTGGTTGGTGAGTACAACCTCAATATTAGAGACAAACGTTGATTGAAAGCTAATGCCAAATAAAGACGGTCATAATGATTGGCCCCATCTCATCCGTGGATTTTACGACAGTACACTAGACGGGCGCTTCCAGCGCGGAAGCAATCTAGTTGGCCACGTCGACCTCAAACGACTCAAGGAGGGAAAATCTGGAGGGGCATTTTGGAGCGTCTATATTGACTGGTGAGCTTGAATAACGCGTTGTCACATTGTAAACTAATGCAATTATAGTCCGAACTCGGATGACTTCACCGACGATGCTATACATTTCGAGGCACTCCGAGATACAATACAGCAGATTGATCTAGTGCATCGTATTGTGGATTTATATTCAGATGATATGGGTCTTGTTGAAGATTCATCTGATATCATGCGTTTGTTTAAAGCCGGTAGATTTGCAAGTCTCATTGGAGTTGAGGGACTTCACCAAATTGCCAACAGTGCTAGTGTTTTACGGATGTATTATAAGCTAGGTGTACGTTATGTTACTCTGGCACACAACAAGAATAACACATACGCGGATAGTGCTGTGAGTATCCCAGGTATAGAATATGTCCGCTAAAGCTGACCTGGTGATAGACTTCGAGCTCTCCAGCACATGGCGGTCTCTCAGCACAAGGAATACAGATGGTCCGGGAAATGAACCGAATTGGGATGTGAGATTACCAACTATGCTTACCAGAGTGACACCTTTCTATGTGAATGCTAAAGGGAAACACAGGATCATCGACTTATCACATACAAGTGAGGCAGCGATGCATCAAGTCCTTGGTATTTCAAAGGCCCCCGTCATGTTCTCTCATTCTGCAATGTAAGGACTGTCATATATTCTTCATTATTTGTCACTTACATTCATTCTAATAGAGCGTCAATTGTTCCACATGTTCGAAACGTCTCCAACGCCGTCTTGAAAAAATTGAAAGTCAATAACGGCGTCATCATGATTACTTTCATACCTTCTCTTATTCATGCAGAGGCCAGTGAAGCAAATATCGACCACATTGTTGATAATATCATATATGCAGGGGACTTGATCGGTTACAATCACGTTGGTCTAGGGTCTGACTACGACGGTATGTTCAGCGCCGTGAAAGGGGTTGACGATGTTAGCTTTTACCCTGATCTGGTTGCCAAAATGCTCGAGCGAGATATACCACGATCAGATGTGGAGAAGGTCATAGGATTGAATATCATACGAGTGTTGGGGGAAGTTGAAGCCCAGGCTGCGAAGATGAAGAGCCAGTCCGCGGTGATGGAAGATGGGGTGAAGCAACTATGGAATAATAACTTTAGAGCGACAGTAGAAAGTGTATATCCAGATGCTGAGAAGAGCTCCCGAAATAAATAGCTCGGGAAACTTCTAGAGATAGTTGAACCTGAACTCACTCCGCTCTGATTTTTGATAGCAAATTCTCATCGGAATAAGAGTAGTTGGCATATACACCCTCATTATGTCTTTTTGGTATTCTTTTCGTACCTCTTTTTGAACATTCTGTTTTGAAGTATTTTTATGTACTACATGAATGAACGACTGAATGGCTTGAACCCAAGTCCATCACCTCTACCCCAGATAATGCTATGAGCATAGTCATGGTAGAGCCACATTGTCCACAATAAAATATCAAATATGACCAAGAACCATCCTGGCACGTTCCCTTCATCATCTTTGAATCGATGCACTCCCATTTCAATACCAACCGCGACTCTCTGCCAGAAGCTACTGAATAACCACGTCCCAATTTGGAAACGATGACTTTCTGGGCATGTGAATATTGGTTGAGAAAGGAGTCGATCTTGATAGAACTTTGGAAGCGATTGCTCTCTCGCGCCTCGAATCAGAAGCCCCTGTTACATCTTAGAATGAAGATTTATTGAAATCAATATCCAAGGGGGCAACTTACCATGTATCGCTCCGAGGGCAATCTTTCATAGGCGAGTGAAATATCATGTCTCGCCACTAGAGTAGTAACTGAAATTGAAGTCGACTCGTTTTCCAGAATCGCCATAAACTTCTTGGTTCGGTATGCAATGCCGCCACTGTATTTTGTTAAGCTTGGAATTCTCAACTGGCTTGGATAGATAATAAATACCCCTCGCTAACAATCACTTGCCGCATATCCTCTGGCGTCAACCAATATGCAACTCCATAAACTGGGAGATCATTTTCCATTGCTTCACGAATTCCCCCCATGGCAGGATCTCGGTATGGCATGCCCATGACGTTGAAGCACAGTGTATGTGTTTTTATATACGCAACCTGTTGTTGTATGGGATTCACTTTGCGTCTTTTGATGAAAACATCGGACAGCATGTTCGATCCATAGGCAAAATACCATTGATTGGAGTCAGCCATCTCAATTGCATGGATAAATAGAGACCAAGAAGACGGGAGTATATTACGAGGTCTATTTGTAAGAGATTGAGCTATGAATGTCCGTTTCAACTGTACTCGCAAAGTGGGACCAAATCGTGACACGAAAATTGGGAATCGGAGAGCGTTACAGACCTTATGCACGTAGGGCATTATCTACTTTTGGATCGATTTGTCTCTTGGTGCAATTGAATTTGCGCTTGTTATCGTTCGGACCATCATAGTTCAGGGAACGTCAACCTTGGTGGCACCGGAAAATTTCCGCCCGGTACCTTGGGGGACTTGCGAAAGCTTTTCGGCCTGTCCATCGAAATTAACTATCCACTATTGAACCCCACATTTGCGGACAATCCCGAATTGTTGATTGCCGCTTCGCTGGCGCTGTGATTGCTATACCTCGATAGGGAAGCGATGCACAGTCAGATGTACTCCGCAGTAAATCCAGGTCAACGAGAAGATAAGGGAATACCTTAAAAGTGTTCAATTAGTTCGAAAATCCGGATATAGCATGCTTATATTTGCTGACAGTGTCAATTCGGCAATCATATTTGCACTATGGATCCATCGTGGTCTACACCAGCGCTCGGAGTTGCGGGCAGTGGGATTGAACCCCACGTGTGGAGTTGGTATTGGGATACGAATGCTAGCTGAAAGCAAATGGATCTTATCGGCAAATTCTCGTCCACTTAGCGACTTGGCCCCCAGGAATAGGATACTCAAGGTTTAGCTTGGTCTGATCCTGAGCAAGGGCGTACGAAGCCATAGAGCCGATGTGGGGTAGGTACCCTCGAAGACGTCTGGCATGATTAGGGTTGGGTATAAGTGAAAGCGGCAGAACAAGAAATTGGATTATCTGTTTATTGTAGTCTTTTGTCAAATATTGAATCGGACATTATATTAAGCGAACATGTCCACTCCTCCCCGTTTGTCCAGTTTTCAGACAGGACTGGAGAATAAATCTATTTGCAGAACTCCCTCAAAACAACAGAATCAAGATTCAACACTTCGTACTGCATGCGATGGATGCCATACTGCCAAGATTCGTTGTACGGGGGGTTCTCCGTGTGCGCGGTGTGCAAGAGAGTATGCATCGTACATTTTCCTGTTTGAGAAACACTGACGACTTACTTCGCACACAGTAATTTGAAGTGTCACTATAGCCAAAAATCCAAAATCGGAAAGCCAAGGGGCAGCCTGAACAAAAAGACAATCGAGCGATTGCGACAAATGAAAGAAAAACAGAGTCCTGCTCCACAGACACCACCATCAACAGCAGGCTCCATGGACGCTCCTGAGACGATTCCACCGCTGCTCAGTTGCAATGAGCATTCCGAGTTAAATCAGGCTGCTTCACCAAAGACCGGAGATCAAAGCACACGTACTCTGCCTGACTTTAGTCTAGGCTCTCCGTCGTTTGAATCCTTGATATTCTCAGAGGAAGTCTCCCAAATGGAAAGCTGGCTACCAGATATCGCAGCTGACTGCTTTCAAAATGTGAGATTGCGATATCAATGCACTGAGACAAAGCTAATTAGGATGGGCACTAGGACATGAACCCACACGAGATATTATCGAGTAAGTATCTTCAACGCACGCAGAGTATGCACATAGGCATCTTTCAGCAGACTGACCAGAACCAGAACCAGAAGCTCAAGATACAAATCGAGCATCGGATCCCATGAATATGCGATCGAGAGAAGATCCACAAAATTCAAGTTCCACATCCTACAAACCAGTGCCCTCCGGGACATTTACGTGCCCATCGCCCCAATCCAACGAATCTTCCCCCTTCAGCTTCACCATACCAATCACAACCGGACCTTCCCTCAATACTCAATCATATATCTCTCAAAAGACATGCTCCTGTTTCTCAACACTAAGCCACCATCTCTGCACCTTGCAAGCGACATCGTCAACACCAGAAAACTCCCAAGCCCTCGACACCCTCCTGATCCAATCCCAGAAGATACTCCCCTCGATTCGCAGTCTATCTAAATGTCAAACCTGCTTGCGAGACACACAGACACTGTTTCTGGTGAACATGATCCTATCCCGACTCCTAAAATGGACGCACGCCTCGATTTGTACATGCGAGACGCGCTGCATTTCAGCGGAGATCCGGCTTGGTAAATATCATGCTTCTAGTGGGATGGGAATGATAGTTACTAGGCTTCTTATTCAGGCTTATTTGACTGAGTTTGACAGGGTCGTTGAGGTGTTTGGAGGGACGGTGAATCGGGTTGGGTTCGGAGAGGATGGGGCTTACTTGGGGCTGCAGGCTAGAAACTTCCAGATGGAGGTGAGAGGCTTGATGAATAGGATTCCGAAATACGGTTGAGGGATTGGATGCGGTCAATGTGCTGACTTACGGCTTGGTGGGTGTATGTTGAGTTGACCTAATCGCCAACGGTAGGAGGACTCAATTTATCAATTCAGAAAGCGACATTGGAGCTTATCGTTGCAAAGCTTATTCAATTGAGAACCTTCAAGGCGCAGCTAAATTTAAACCATGTACATAGAGAGGCTAAGATGACCCCTCGGCATCTCTTTTCATTCTCAGCCGATTTATTGTATCCGACAACGAAGATACGTCCGAAAAAGAAGAAACCTTCGAGACGGGAGATACGGGAGATACTGGTGACTCCCCAACAAGCTCCATGGCTTCGTATCTTCTTTTCTCGCTTAGAGAGTTCGCACTCTCCATGAGCCTTTCCTTGATCCTTGCTGGTGCAGCCATGCAGTAGCGCTTGAGAGCGACAATAACAACCTTGAAGCCCGGAGAGTCGACATTCTCAAATTTGCAAATGCCCCGGTGATCTGCGGCGATACCACATCTGTCCGTTCCATCCAATATGGGTGCGGCACTCTCACGATCCACGATATAGTCCATTGTATATTTCATATCGGTGCGCAACTGCTCCCACAGAAACGTTATGTGATACCGTGACATCAATGGAGAAAAGTCCTCGGCGATGTTTTGAATTGTTTCAGAGTCATCCTCGATTCCAGTAACTAGATTTGTTTCGAATCGAGCAACCCTTTTGGGAACAATGAAGGATGCTAGCTTGTGGATGGTGTCGAGCTGGCGTGCTTTGCTGGAGCCATTGTGGGGAGTGCCAAAAAACAAAATGCCGTAAGTGCAAGTATAAATCTTGTGAAGTCGAGCGCTCTTCGCTGATGTGCGACCTTGGGATAAAGTGAGGGCTCTTTTGACTATGATACCTCCTAGAGAATGACATACGAAAATGATGGGTCTCTCGGTGGCATCCTCGAACTAGTCGCGGTTAGCTAGGAAATCCGTTGTCTCTCAGATCCAAAGCACATGAAGTTAAAACCAAGCTGAAATATTGATAAGAAATCATTGTCATGGAAATGTCCGAATATTTCTCACTTGTAACTTGGAGGCATACTCCATCTCAGTCCGAGGCAGCCCCCAGCCCAAGGCATCCAGGGCAGCACGGTCTGGAAAATAAAACCCAGCAACGAATGTTCCTTACAGTGTACATCACTACTTACCTCTCTGTCATTTTGAAGCTCCTCGATAAGCGTCCCAGCATGCTGTAGGATCCGGTCTGAGCTTGTTGCCTTACCGCCCAAAGAGTTTGTGTTGGCGTTATACCCCCACGACAGGACCCGGGCATTCTTGATGTAGTTGGGAAGAAGGTCGCTAAGCCAGCATACTTTTGAAGCTTCATGAGTCCATGTTCGCCGAGCGTCACCTTGCAGACCATGAACAGCGACGATACTATTCGAACCAAATGGTCAGCCAGTATTACAATTTGTCTAAAGGCCAGTACATACTCAATATCTATAGGCTGTTCGCTAGGTCTGAATAGTTCAATAATGCCATTATGGAAGGAACCCGTTCGAGGCATGTTCAAAGGGATAGAAAGTCAAAGTTTCATATGATGATACGATATTACAATAAGACTTGGCAGAAAGGACGGTTGGGGCTTGGTTATAAGATCTTCCCACGAGTCAATCTCTGCTGTACTTTTGTCGATCCAGGGGTCTTTAGAACAGGCAACAATCGTCACGAAAGCCAGATCAGTCAATTCATTTGTTTGCATTCTTTTCATTTATTTGCTATCTATCTAAAAATATGAAACTATTCTGAATGGCTGAATTAAGGGGCTGAGTCAAGTGCACGGGGTTTAGAGCCTTTTTAGGCCCCTCCGGAGCTAGACAAGGGTATTCTGCGCTTTCAGCGTGATGCATTGGCGCCGTGTGATGCGGCCTGCATTAAATGGCATGCGAGCACATCCGCGTATCAGGATGCAGATTGGCTAGTCCAAATGAGCCTATAAATCAGCTTCAGTCCGTCAAGGCTAACTATCCTTGGCTTGGTTTGGCCCTGTACCTAGTTAGGTACTTTGCGTACTTATGTGCACTAGCAACTAGCATTAGCCATTTTGAAACAGAGAGTCACACTAGGGACTCCGTTCAACCCGGGTTTTTGTTGGGCAAGACACCCCTTCTTCTCGATCGGACATGTTTATCAGATCTATGCTTTTCCTGAATACTTGTCATAATCTTTGACTTTCAGTGCGGTTGTGAGATCCTACCAGTAATCTCCAAACACGGTGGTCTCAATGACTGTAGAAACAATTTTCCCGGTATCCACTGACGGGAAGTGGGACGATCTATGTGTCGAGTAAGCTTTCAAACGCCGACTAAGGATCGCGAATAGACCTCGCTAATTGAGCAGTATCGTTGCCGTCCATGGGTTAGATGAAAATGGAACGACGGCTTGGATTCATCCCAGCAATGGGTGTTTTTGGTTGCGCGACCTGCTCCCTAGCGAAGGGTTCAAGGCTCGTATCTTCACTGTAAATTACAAAGCCGATGCTACCTCGTTCTTCAGTAGCAGTTCGGCCGATCGGATATCGCATCATGCTCAAACTCTTGTGGAAGAGCTCAACGCCGAAAGAGAGCATGATGATTCCATACAGCGACCGATAATTTTCCTGTGCCATGGTCTTGGTGGCTTGATTGTCAAGAAAGCCCTTATCTACGCCTCTACTTGCACTTCTGCGAAGATGACGCACCTGCATTCTGTTTTTACTTCTACTTTTGGCTTGATATTCTTTGGCACTCCTCATGAAGGTATAGAGAAGGCCAGGTGGTCTCTTCTAGCAAAGGGGTTGAAGGGTATTCTCAAGGATCGAAGCCATCTCATCGCATCTATGGAGAAGAGATCGGAAACTCTCCAGACCATCTCCCAGCAATTCTCTCCTCTTCTGAAGAATTTCTACATTCACAACTTCTGGGAAACAGTTCAGACATCGCGCTCCATTGGCTCAGGCTACATTGTCAGTCACTCTTCAGCAGCTCCGCCATGGGATGATACCGGGCGCTCGGGACTTCTGGCAACCCATTCACAGATGTGCAAATTTGGTGACCGTGAGCAGCCTGGCTATAAGTCAACATGCGGGATCCTCAAGAGGTTTATTAAACTAGCGGGCCCATTAATAGCTTCGCGACACCGGGAATCTCATTCCTTTCTTGCTGCGCGAAGGGGACACGAAGCCACGGAGATTCTGGCATTCGACATTCATCACGACAACGAACCTATCAGTTTCAAACTCAAGCCCGCCGCAGACTCTCAAAATCAATATTTCCTGGTTCCGCTCGCCGTAAGCGACAATTACACAGGAAGAGAGAGGCTTGCTCAAGGGCTCCAAGAAAAGCTACTGGCGCCTAGTATACGCCAAAAGCGCTTTGTGTTGTACGGTATGGGGGGGTCTGGAAAGACTCAGTTCTGCTTGAAATTCGCATCAGATAATCGAGACAAGTAAGATCGATTACCCCACCCCAAGCAGCGCGCTTGGAATAATTATGTTGAAAATGCTAATATACATTCTTAGTTTCTGGGGGGTCTTTTGGGTTGATGCAAGTAGCCCAAAGGCTGCTGAGCAGGCCTTTTCAGGTCTTGCCCGTATTGGTAAAGTGGAGGAAAAGCTGGAGTCTGGCCTGTACTGGTTGTCAACGCAGGACATGCCTTGGCTATTGGTCATTGACAATGCAGATGATGCAAACTTTGACTACGCCAAATACTTTCCTTTGGGTGCTAAGGGGCATATTCTAGTAACTTCCCGAAATCCCGACTGCAGAGTTCATGCAACTATTGGGTTTGAGGAGTTTGCAAACCTCGAGGAGGAAGATTCGATAACTCTACTTCTGAGGTCCGCCATCGTGAGCGACCTTCATGATTTGAACGCAAGAGCCACCGCTCGTCCCATTGTGCAAGCCTTGGGTTGTCTACCACTCGCTTTGATACAGGCGGGTGCCTCCATTCGCCAGAATATATGTTCCTTGGAGGACTACTTGAATGTTTTCAATTCCTATAAGAGAAAGCTTTTCCTCAATGGGATCCAACAAGGTCAAGGCTCATATGCACATAACGTTTTCACAACATTCGAAGTCTCCTACAACAAGATACGAAGCCTCACAACAGATGAGGCGAGGGAGGCCATTGAGATACTCCACGTCATGGCATTTCTCCACTTTGATCAAATACCTGGCACGCTTTTTGAGAAGGCCTGGGAAGGTTTTTTTAACCACGGAAAGCTCGATACTCTCAGCCGCCTCGCTGACAGGATCACACAAATTCCGGGAGATTTAGTTACGCTGTCAAGTGGATATGGAGGTTGGTTTACGATGTTTGCCGAGGGACGGCTGCCTCGTATTTTCTCCCAGACTGAAAACTCCTGGGACAAACTCCGCTTCCGTAAGGCAATTCACCTACTTTGGTCGTATTCCTTGATTTTGCAGAATGTAAATCTCGGAAGCTATTCAATGCATCCCATGGTTCAATTCTGGGCGCGAGAACGACTGCAAGGAAAGGCCCAAAAGATTTGGGGCAACATTGCATCTCGGGTATTGGCTGAGTCGATTACTACAATATCAGAAGACTCAGAACTCGTATACCGACGGTGTCTAGTGCCACATATAGATTCTTGTTTGAGGGTTGACTATGGCGATTCCCGCAAAGGTCTAGAGTTCGACAATTCAAATATGGGTCAATTCGAGCGATTTGCCACTGTCTACGCGGAAGGAGGTCGATGGAACGATGCCGCCGCCATACAAGAAAGAATTCTCAACACAAAGGGCGATTTACTTGGAAAAGACAGCTTTGAGGCTCTAGATGCCATGGCGGTGCTTGCCCGGAGCTACTGGAATTCAAGTCAAGCAGGAAAAGCTTTAAGGCTTCAAACTTCAATTCGGGATCTCAGCCAGGGAAAATTGGGCCCCTTTGACCCAAGGACGCTTCAAGCTATGGACAGCTTGAGTCGTACACTTTGGTTGTGCGGTTCTATCTCGAAAGCCGACAAACTGGCGCAACAATCATACGAGGGATTGGCGCAAATATTGGGGCTGGACCATCCCTACACACTTAGTGCTATGCATAGCTTTGGTCGAACCCGTTTGCATCTGGTGGACCTGAAGAAAGCACAGGAACTACTTCTGCGGGCATGGGAAGGGAGAGCGAAGCTGTTTGGCGCGACCCATCTGGACACCCTCGAGACAATGCAGGACCTTGGGATGACTTGCTTGGCACTCAAGGAGATTGAGGAGGCTGAAAAGCTAGTATCATTTGTTCTTGATTGTAGGAAACGACTCCTCGGTAATGAACATGCTCATACTCTATGGTCCATCAACGATCTAGCCAAGGTATATTGCGCCCAAGGCTACCCGGAGGATGCAATAGTGCTATTGATCCCGACGCGAGAAATCGCCACGCGAACCCTGGGAGTAACTCACATTGGCACAACAATGACAATTTTTAATTTGTCACGAGCCTATCTACTTTCAACCCAATTTCACAAAGCGGAAATTATTCTAGCTGACCTCATTGAAACGGAGTCCAAAGCTTTAGGTCCAAAGCATCCAGACGTCTTCTCGGCAAAGATGGAACTTGCAGAGGTTTTGATGAAAATGGGAAAGGTGCACAAATCAGAAGAGCAATCCCAAGAGGCAATCGAAGGGATTTCCATACTATTTGGGCCTGAAAGCCCTCGCACAATTCATGCAAAGGCACGACAGGCTGCAATATGCAAATTGGGCGATAAGCCTCATCCTGCTATGATCTCTTCATTCAAAACCACCGAAGTCTAGCTCAGAGCAATCTGATTGTGTTGCCTTAAACCGTTTCTTTTCATGATTGAGGCTTGAGATTAATAACATCTTCACATTCTGAGGTATGATCAAGGTTGTGAGCGTTTTCCTCTACGCATTTTTTATGACAGACCGCTGGGGTAGTCGCCCGCTTCTTCTCATCGGCTTCTTAATCAACGTTATCTGCCTTCTCAACCTCTCTACCTACCTTGGTGTATCCGACCTATCCGGTGAAGGGGACCCCTCACCTACTGCGTGGGTTGCTATTGTGGCCAACTGTTTCTTTGCAGTCGGCTACTGATTTATATAGGCGTCTGCTTTCTCTTTAATGGCCTTGGAGATATAGCACTACTCGCAACTTAGCCTCCAAGAATTCCCTAGCCGTAGGCCAATCAGACATCCGCAAGTTCGCAGTTGTAGATACCTGGGCACCGCCACATTATGCCAACACGAAGAAACAAGAGGGCACGTAAATCACTAATCACAAAATATGACTCACGATCAACCACGGGGGACAAAGAAAGTCTGCAATCGGGTAGAGCCGGCTTAAATGCGAACCCCTCGACAAACTAACAGGCACACCAGGTCATGCTGTAACGGTAGCGCGGCGGCTTACATGTTTCCATAACGAACATATATGTTAGCACACATGGTCCGGAGTACTCCATGTATGATATCGTATTAGAAAAAAGAAAAGGGGAACAAGTGCCAATTGATTCTGTATGGTTTATTCAACAAATGAAAGGTTCTATATAGTCCGTATGTATGTATTGGGCCCGATAAACATTTCCCGCCGATGCACAGATATCAGACACATCATTGATGATTTTGATACATGGGTCGCAACAATCCCCAACGCCTCTGTGCCACATGTCTGCAACATAGGGCTATTCTTCAAAAAGGGAGTCGCTTATTCTTTCTTTGTCTCCTTCGGCTCTGATGACTTCGGTGCCTGGGTGGGCTTCTTCGCCCCAGGGGGAGTTTCAAGCGCTGAGGCGGCTGCCATTTGAGATTTCTTGTGCTTATCGCGTTTCTCCATAAGGTAAGTCCAACTCTTACCAAGGCCTGCAGTGAACGGTGCCTTGATCGTCTGGACAGTGCTGGGCCAGCGGATTGTCTTCTCAATGGACTTGGAGACCTCCGTCTGAAGGTGATCATCCCCAGCAATCCGTCGCTCAAATGAACCGCCTTGAGGCCGGCGAAGAACCTCATCCGAATCCTTGCTCTCCTGAATCATTTTATTGAAATCGGCTCGGGGGATCTGATAGCGGGACTGGTACTGGAAGTACAGCTTTTGCCGGAAAGATTCAGGCAGGCGACGAACCATGTTACCACGCATCACCGGATCCATATCTTGCGCCATAGTGAGGATAGCGTTCGGGTCATCGATCCAATCCTCGTTGCTGCAGCGGGGGTCTTGGAAAGTGACATTGGGCAAATTTTCGATGAGTGGTGCGTAGAGCCGGCGGAAGTGCGCCATTTGTCCTGAAACAATATTTCGCACCTTGCCGGGGTCCTCGGCGGGGAGGGCCATGCGTAGATCTCCCATATAGCTCATGCCTGCTATTGTGCTGTATAACTCAAATTCACTAAATCTTTCTGGCAGTAAGAGAAGTGCGACTCGCAAAGCAGACAGCAAATTCATCTGGTTGGCCAATCGCACTTTCGGGTGGTCCCGCAAGATCTTGACGGGCTTTTGCAGACGACCAGCGAGATACATGGTGTCCCACTGGGTGAGGTCTCGACATAACGTATCCAGGTTCACCACGCCATATTTGATCATTGTCCCGTTCACGGTAATATAAGGATGGAAGTAGACACCCGCGCCGAAGCGGTCCTGTACTTGGGAGACAGTGTACGACCCCAGCGAGCCTAATGCAGAATAATGATCACGATGTTGGTTAAGATTGATGTCATGCCAATGCTGGGAGTATGACACGCCGAAAATGAAGTCAATCATCTTCCCGGAGCCCTTTTGCATATTCTGGATGGCGGTGGGTGCCGAGGGGTGCAGTGAGCTGGACGGAGCTCCGCTGCCATTCTGCGGAAAGACACCCGATCCATAAGCAAATGCGTATCGAATTGGCGCTTTGAACTGCCAAAGGATCATTCGCAATGCCTCCTTGAAATCTTGGTTTATGATCATGTGCTGGTTGACTCCGAAGTCTTTCGAGGGAAGTTCCGAGAAATTGGTAATTGACAAGTCCGGGTTGTCGTCCCAGTTTTCGGGTAACAGCGAAGATGAAGATGTTGAGAATGAGGAGGAGGATGACTTGTTGGCTGTCGCTTTGCATATCAAATGCGATGTCGAAGCCCTGTTATTTGCCGAGAGTCGGCCATTGTAGGGAGTAATCGGATAGCAATTGAATGACAGAAAACGGGCCGAAGAAGGAGTAATACGTGGGGATGAGAGAAGGGTACGAGACCGCCAGAGAGAGCTGGGGTTAGCTCCTCGAGAAGCAACCATCTAGCAGATAAGTTGTAGCGCGATCATCGGGTACAGTGGGGGATCTGACATACTGTTACTCCCGGCATGATTGGGGTTCGGACAAAGGAAATCGGGGCGCGTAGCGCAGTAATTATGTCAAGTCAAAGAGCCCGCATAGAAAGCAAACGAGTGAATTGAAGTGAAGTGAATCTGGGTGCTCCGTCAACATTTCCGGCTCTGACGTACTCCCCGTCCTCCTCCGCTTCTAATTCGGGTGCTGAGTAATGATCACGTGGACGCGTCGAAAGATGCATAACAACCAAAAGTAAACAGACGCGGAGGACCAACAATAACGACTCCTTCGGCAATATTCGCCTAATTCCGCCACAAGAGATTTCTTTACATGTCGGGCATTGCTATCGATTGTCTCTGATTGCCCTGATACCTCGCCATGGCCTCTGAAATGGATACCTTTGCGGCCCGCCTAGCCAGCTTTGACATAGTGCTGAAGCCGGAGAAACGCAGATCTTCCGGCACAAAAACACCCAAGGCGATTACATGGCCGCACCAGCGACCTTCACCAGCTGAGGTACGTCAATCTCCGTAGAGATTACACGGGCCCATTAAATAGTGATTGACTGGGTGGGATTCTAGTTGGCACATGCTGGATTCTACTACAAACCATACGAGACAAATCCAGACAACACAACATGTTTCGAGTGCCACCGGGCACTAGACGGCTGGGAGGAGGACGACAACCCCGTCACAGAGCATCTCAAGCATGCGCCCGACTGCGGATGGGCCATCATGATGGACCTACAACAAAGCAGCTCCAACCCTGCCTCAATTGAAGACCCTACGGGCGACCGGATCACACAAGCGAGACTGGCAACATTTGGTACGGCATGGCCTCATGACGGGAAAAAGGGCTGGGTATGCCAGTCGGAGAAGGTAACGCGCGACTGCCCCGTATTCATATTCTCTTGGCTCACAACAACAATAGATGGTTGAAGGCGGATGGTATTTCTGCCCTACAGACGAGAGCAATGATCTAGCCAGCTGTGTCTATTGCAAGTTGTCATTAGATGGCTGGGAACCCAAGGACGATCCATTGTGGGTATCCATCGCTCTTTCCCAGTTGGAGAGTTGCTAACTTGCTCCAGTGACGAACACTATCGTCGGTCCTCAGACTGCTCATTCTTTGTCTTCGCCCAGCCTCCAGGAAAGAAGAGCAAATCCACTCGTTCTAAGAAGCCTCGTGTGTCCAAGACGTCCTCCCGACTTTCAACCCAATCCGTTGGCCCAGTTTCATCCGAAGCGCCCGATATGGAGATGGATGACTCCATGGATCACAGCATCATATCCCAACCCACCACAAAATCCAAATCTACCAAGAAGGCAGCTAAGAGCAAATCAAAGGGAACCAAAACCAAGAAGGAAGAATCAGCGGAGGTGGAAAGCCAAGTTGAGGCTGATATTGAGGAGGTCACCCAACCAGAGCCTCTCAAACCGAAACGTGCAGCCAGAGGAAAGAAGAGGGCCAGCGAAGATATCAAGGATGAACCAGAACCCGTTAACATGGAGGAAAGAGAGCAATCACAGCCGCCAGCAGAACCCCCAGCTAAGAGACGCGCCACGAAAACACGGAGCAGCAGCATTGCTCGCAATTACAATTACGAACACAGTGACTCTGCCATGGCAGACGTAGAGCCAGTTGATGACACTGCTTCGGAAGAAGAAACCAATAGAGGTCGCAAGCTCACAAAAAAAAGTGTGTCCAAGGCGCGGAAGGTCTCCGATGTGCCTGCTGCATCAAAAGCCCCGTCAAAGGCGCGAGCCCCTCGTGACTCGGAGATCGAAACAGAAATTGAAGCAGGTGTCGAAGCAGATTTCCCCAAACCTGCCCAATCCGAGCCTGAGATCGAGGCTAAGCCAGAAGAGGCACGGGCATCAAAGAAGACAAAATCGAGCAAAAAGTCCAAGGCTGTGGCTAAAATCCCCGAACCGACCATACATGATCAAGTAGAGGATGCCAGTGATCGCGAAAACCGTTCAGATCCTCACGCGGAACCGGTAGATGATGAAACCGAGGCACCTGAGCCACCAGCCCCAAAGAGCAAGTCGGCAAAAGGATCGAAGAAAAAGGGGACAAAGAAAACTAAGACCGAAGAGACTATAAAGGCACCGTCGCCAGAGCCTCGAGAATCTTTAGGGCCCAGCGCTCCCGACATTCGGGATGATTCCGAGCGTCATGACTCCTTCATCTCCGTCGAGATTGTCACCAAGGAGCCGGAGCATGCACCGGAGCCTGATGTACCAATGGTTAAGGCTGAATCAAAGAAGGTGTCCAAGAAGAAGGATGGCACATCAATTAAAGAGAAGAAGTCCAAAAAATCCGCGAAAAAGACAGAGCAAGCTCCTGTCCCAGAACCCCTAGTCGAAGAACATCGCGCGGAATCATCGGTCGAGGAACATGATGATGAGTTCGAGACTACAGATGATTTGCCTGACCAGCTTGAGATGATCAACCCTCCCCAAGAGTTTTCTCCGCTGCCACAAGAGATGTCCCCCGAGCCACAATCTCATCGCAAGACACCCAGTCTACCGCCAAAGACCGCCAAACGGTATAGCGATATTCCCCACGAAGAGCATCTTGCAGAGACCCTAGTCCAAAGCCAGGGCTCCCCTCACGAAGTGCCTGAGCCTCGGCGGAACTCAAAACGTTCCAACCGGGCAGTTTCACCACTTCCGCCAGCTCACCAAAACACTCCTTCACTATCACCCCAGTCATCAGATGCCGAAAACCAGCCTCCATCGTCGCGGCCCTCGGCATCCCGTCCACCTGTTCAATCAACACCCAAGCATCCCGAGTTTCGAGCACCTCTGGCAGTTAGTACTCCATCACCATCCAAGCGCAACGCCAATGGTGGATTTGGACCCTCCGGTCATCCATGGACACCGGTGGATATTGATGAAGTATTGTTTGGAGAGGCCAGCGACAAGGAAAACGCGGATTTGTCTGGACTTTTCAAAGGTGTGAAGGCCGGCTTGACTAGCCCAGAGAAGAAGATGACGGTTCAAGAATGGATCGCGTGGAACGCAAAGAATGGGGAAGAACGACTGAAGAGAGAGTGCGAGCGACTTGTCGGCCAATTCGAGAAGGAAGGTGGACGAGCAATGCAGCGACTCGAAGCTATCGAATGCATCGACTGAATCAACAGTCAGACTATGTTTTCAGATGGATGATATGATTTGCATGTTAGGCGTTATGCTAGGTGTTGGAGAACCCTTGTTAGATCTTTAGTTCGCAATTTGAATTTTGGAAGTGCCATTATTGCACATGAAGAACATGACCAGTAAAAAACAAGTCTGGAAAATAGGCCAAAACACCATGGGTATCAATAACAGAACGCGCACCCCAGAAAAACACTCAAGAAATGATTCCCAACCGTCCCTCCCAGCTATCATCCTCATTCTTAACCTTGTCTCTCTTCCGCTTCTCGTTGCGCTTGCGCCTCTTCTCCTCCCTCTCCTTGGCATCAATCTCCTCCCGCTCCTTAAGCCGCACCCCCAGATCAAGCTGCCAAGCCTTCCGCTCCTCCTCGTCCCTTTGACGCTTCCGATGCGAAAGCATCCTCAACCGCAAGCGCACGTCCTCAACATTCGCCCTCTTCACCTCGCCACTTTGCCCTGTTGCAATCAAATGCTGCTTGCTGTTCAAGTGCTCTACAAGCTGCAAGTTATCCTTGTAGGTAAGATCACAGTCCTTGCAGTAGAATCCGGCGCCGCGGCCGCGCTTGCCCATCCCCGTGCCTCCGGGGACAATCATGGTCTTTCCCACCATGGACGCGACATCCAGGCGCTGATTGCGGGCTGTGGTATCTTCTAGCATGCTGTAGTCGACAGGCGCGTGGTATTTCTTGCCCAGTAGTTTCGCTTCATATCGGGCTTTGCCTTCGGCTTTGCGCTTTGCTTCGGTTTCGGCCGCTTTTTTGGCGTATTCTTCACGGTCCCAGGTTTTCCGGAAGGCCGTGTCCGACACCGGGGTGCCGTAGGCGTTTGGTCCCGACATGTTTGTGGTCGATATGGAGGTTTTGTTTTGAGGAGATGTAGTTGGAGGTTGGTGAGTGGCGATCTTTAAAAGTGGAAGCTTCCAAAGTTGAGGTCGATTTGAGCCCGATATTGAAGATTACATAAGCGATCGTGAATTTCCACCTCACAACCCACGCCTTCAATTATACATAGCTTCTAGGAGGCTGAAAATAGGCAGCTGCTTTGCATCAATAGATCATTTGATTATTACATCGGATACATAGCTCCAATTAGGAATTAGTGTCGGTGGCTGCGATTTCAGGCAACAGTTTTCGACCCGCTCGTATAAGATAAACAACACCACCCTCACGTCAATTGCACACAATTAAGCTACAAGCAACAGCCTTGGAAAGCAAGTCCAGAAACATGGAGATATCTAATTCCCCCTCGGGTTCTCAATCCACCAGCACCAATCTAATGACCCTCCCCTCTGAACTTCACATCCAAATAAGCACCTACCTTTCCTACCCAGATGCCCTAGCTCTCAAGCACAGCAGCCGCCACTTCTACTCAATGGTCTTCACTGGCGTCCGTCTAAAAGTTGACTGGCTCATCGAGCGGTTTGAGCATAAACTCGAATGCCCCATGGAGAAGTGCTCGTTTAGTACAGATGAGTCTTTTTGTAATGGGCAAGTCTGCGGCATTATGGAGCGCCGTCGGTGGCATCTCGAGTGTCGCCGGGTTAGGGGTGGATGTCTGCTTGTTAATGGCCAGACCTGTCGGACGGATTTTGTCCCCGGTTGGTTCAAGATGAGGACACAGGGAAAAAGGACAGTTGTCAAAGTGATGGAGAGCTGGGGGCATGAAGGTTTGTTTCCTCTTTCGTTCTATCATCTTCCTGTCTGATGAAACATCGGCTGATATCGCATTGCATAGCCTTTGTAATTGGAATTATGGCTGTACTGCTGAACTTGTTGTGGCATTTTGCCCAGAGGTGAGACATTGTTTCCGGTTGGCTTGCTTGTGGTTTGAAGACCTTGCTGATTGAACTCGCCAGAACTTGGTATTTTGATAGCAGATTGAAAGGATACTATACGACTATCCAATGAGTTATGACTCAAAAATTTCAGCTCATGCCTCATAACAGGCTGAGTTTGGAAGTCAATTGACAAATGCCGACATGTTTCGCCCTATATATATTGATCAACCATTAAGCTGAACCGGCATGTCCCGATGCATAGATCAGGACTTCGGTGCCATGAGAAATGACTCAACATGCGACCTAGGAATCAAGCTCGCAAAATTAGTCGTTTTACACTGTGTATAACAGCCGAGAGACATTTTGCATCGGTGTGATGTAATGGAGATTCGCAGAATAATCGATGCGGAGAATCGAGATGGACCCCGACCGAAATGCATCTATGTTGAGACCTATTCTCACAGTCGGAGCTGTGGAGCCCGATCTTCACAGCTTCCAAGCTTTCTGGATGCTGTGATGCAGTGAACTTGAATTTGACCTCATCTGGCGGAGAATGTTGGCCCCGATCCTGTTCTTATCGGTGACGTCACATTTACGACCGTCCTACATCTATATAGCCTCTCCCTCTACATGTACAAGACTCTCTACTTTGCTATATCATTTCACCATTTGAACTCCAAACAAAATGTCTACCGTAGATTCCACTATCAATACCAAGACGGGCAACCACCCTGTGGACCCCTACAAGACACAGAACTTCGAAGACCCGCCTCTTCCTCAGAAGATCGAAGAGCTGGTTGAATTCATCAACCAAGTTAAATTCGGCATGTTGACAACTAAACAGTCGGAGGGCGACTACCTGGCCTCACGATGCATGGCATTAGCTGCAACGGTATGAGCAGAGGTAGAATAAAGAAAAAGCACCTGCTAATTCGTCTCTAAAAATAGGAGAACGGCGGCATCGACCTCATTTTCCACACAAATCTCTTCTCCGGCAAAACAATGGATCTCACTGTGCACCCCACGGAAACAAACATGTCCTTCCTCGACCCTATCAGCGGAGCCTGGGCCTCCATCTCAGGCACGGCGTCAGTGATTGGTGATCCCGCCATCGTGAAGAAGTACTACTCACCCGCACTCAAGGCATGGCTTGGCGATATGGGCGATGGTGTGCACGATGGTGGACCCTCAGACCCCCGGATCGGCGTTATCAAGCTTGAGGCCAAGTTGGCCACGCATGTTGTTGCGCACAAGGGCCTGCTTGGTCGTGCCTATGAAACAGTTAAGGGCGCTGTGCAGGGCAACGTTCCTCATGTCAATGGAATTCGGGAGTTGAGTTTGCAGGAATTGGCTGAGTGTATGTTTCCTTCCTCTTCTTTTTGATTTTTTTGACTATGTGCAACACCTGCTAATTAATCTCTGCAGGGCGCCGGACGCATCAGGAATAAATGTATTTAAAACTGGAGACTCGAAAGAAGAACACCCCTCTTTATTAAGAGGTATACAACGCTTTGGGTGGATAACAGATAAATGAATTAGAATCAAATATGCTCCCTCCCCAAATGGTTCTTCAAATCGGTCCATTGTGCCCACACTATATCGTCTCTTAGAGCTGATCTGAAAGCGTGGGTAAAAACCCGCCTTTGACAAGGAACTCGGCGCTCTTTCTTACAGCAGCTTTCAATCGTAACGGCGTGCTACCACGCTTCTGCCGCCAGCTACCCACCATTCGCTCATCATTCTGCAACCCTGTGATCATGTGAGCCAGTGGCCACAGGGGATGCTTATCCCTTGCAGCTTCAATTTCTGCGCGGACAAGAGACAACCACTTTTCCATGGCCTTAGCCTCAAGCCTGTAACCTAGCCCCTCGAGGATGGCCCAAAATTCCCTCCATGTTATGCCATCCATAGGCTCTTTCTCATCCAACGGTTTCATTTCTTTTCCCAGCGCAGCGTCGATAATTGCCGTCGCTGTGGTCGCGGCGTCGGATATTGAAAGCCACCCATCCGCCTCATCCGCATTGTACGCCCCAAGTTTGATGCACGTCGCCGCTAACCGCCAGATATAGTCATCAGGGTTGGAAGAGCCCTCAGTTGGTGTGCCAATGACCCATCCAGGGTTCAAAACAACGAGCCGGTTGGTTTCAAATGGGCCGCGCCGCGCAGCTCGCTTGACTACAGCTTCGGCGACAAACTTGGTCTGACTATACGGGATGGCGTCGGCAGATGATAGCTCCTTTGCAACATCCAGCTCTTCATAAGAGTCCCACGGCCGACCACCCGTAACATAGAGGAATCTCATGCAAGGGAGGCTTATCGTGAGAAGTAACAGCTCTATGGTTGAGCCAACATTGGCGGCCTCTAGGGTTTCGTAGCTTTTTGTCCAATGCACCGTTGCACCACTGTGAATGATGATATTAACCGCTTGGCCACTGGCTAGATAATCCCAGCGCATCGGATCAAGTCCAAGATTTCGCAGTGACAGGTCACCCCGCCAAACTTCTAGCTTATCCGCGTGGTGATCATTCCACCAGAGCGCTTTCAGAGCTGCATTGATGGTGCGCTGTCTGGCTGCCTCGTCTGTATCACCACGTACAAGGCAAATGATGTGACTGACATGGGGATGTTCGAGGAGCTGGCGTAGGATTTGGGTGCCGACAAAACCGTTGGCACCAGTCAAGAGCACGGTAAAGGAATTCTTGACACTTTCCATCAGCAGATCATTGCTCGTTGCGTAGTCGTGAGTTGGGGTTATTTGTTGGGTACTCAAAATCTTGGAGTCATACCGGTTGATCTCGGCGATAAGATCAACTGAAAACGAGGCACGAGTCGAAGAGGAGTGTTTCTTAGCACCGCACTCTGGAGGATCGGCTAAGTGCTGAGCCAGAGTCCTAATACTTGTTGCTTTGTCCATCAAAAACTGCATTCCAACTTGGTTATGGAAGTTCTGTGAGATGAAGGACATGAGCTCCATCATGTTCACTGAGTCTAGACCTGACGAATGTAAAATTAAATCGTTCAATTCAGTATGCTGCCGCTGTAAACTGTCTGCTCTGAACGGCAATTTATCCTGACTCCATGAGGGACGCATGGAATGTATCTTCTGAGCTAGTGCATACGCTGGCTGCTCAGTCTCCAATATCGGTTCACCATGTGGGAACTTATTCGCAAGAGTCTTTTCAGACGCATCCAGCGCCTGCTCCCCTTCAGCCAAGAGAAGTGCCCGGCCAATCTCACGAAGCCGTCGCCGGTTCGTCTTCCCCGTAGCAGTCAGCGGCAGATCCGGCAGAGAAAATATTGCTGTCGGCACCATGTAGTTCGGCAGATAATATGCCAGTCTTTTCTTGATGTCAGGAGCCATGGGGTGTGTCTTGGCTGTAAAAGTCGATTTTTCGTTGACCTTCTTGCCATTGTCACTTGCCTGGATGAAGGCCGCCAACACCGGTCTAGGATTTACCTCGCCCTCAGGTACGACAACTTCGGCCGCAACCTGGCTCGCCTTTGTTGGCAAACAATCTAGAATATGCACTTCGACTTCTGCAAGCTCAAAGCGCTGCCCTCGAATCTTGACCTGGCTATCTTTGCGGCCCACGAACGTCAAGCTCCCATTTTCGTTGTACCGAACCAAGTCACCCGTCTTATACAGTCGCCCATGGCGCCCGGATCGAGTATCTGAACCCTTCAGCAGCCATTCAGGATCTTCGATAAACACTTCAGCGGTCTTTTCCAGGTCCCCTATATAACCCTTGCCAACAAGCGGCTCTTCAAGGAGTAGTTCACCGATGCATCCTAGCGGTAACAAGCGGTTGTGATCTTCTGAGTTTACAATCCATGTTACCAAACCCACACCTTTTCCTATCTGAATAGCCTCCTCTGTGCGGAATGAAAAGGCGTTAATCGTACTGATTGGTGTGCATTCAGCTGGGTCGTAGGCGTTTATGAGGCGGATTTTGTGCGACTGCCATCGCTCAAGATCTCTGATTGTGACTGGCTCGCCAAGTAAAATCAAAGTCCTAAGATCGTGCACCGTCCCCGGATCTAGCAGACGTGCTACCGTAGGAGTCATATTAGCAATTGTAGGACGCATGGCGACCATCATGTTGCCAATGTTATCATTGCGGTCCTTTTCCGAGGGAATGCATAAACAGCCTCCCGCAACGAGTGTGGCTATAGCATTGTAGATCGCGGCGTCAAAGGCATACGATGCAAAGTCCAAGACCCTAGACTCTCTGTTGAAGCCTAGAAGGTCTAACTGATAGTGTACAGCAGAGCAGAAATTCCTGTGCGACACTAACACTCCTTTAGGCGCTCCAGTGCTACCGGAAGTGAAAACTGCATACATTATCCGCGAAGATGGTTGTAACAGTGTGGAACTCGCAGCATGTCTCAAGGCATTGTTCGAGATGTGCGATAGATCTGGGCCGATTTGAATTACCATCTCTGACAGCCTGAGGCTTAACCCCATGTTGGCTTGGGAGGATAACAACAACTTCGACCCCACCTTCTGGAGTATCGTTTGCAGTCGGGGTTCAGGGAGAAAGGGTTCTAGCAGCACGAACCCTGCGCCTGACTTTAGGACACCAAGCATAGCTACTATTGTCCACTTGGACTTCTCAAAACATAGTGGCACCAGGATGTCCGGGCCTAGTAGGTGCGGCCCAACCTCAAATTCGACAAGCTGAGCCGCTACCTGCGTGGAAAGTCGGTCCAGCTCGCCGTATGTGAACTCTCCATCCCAAGCACATATAGCGGTCGCTATCGGCTGACTCTGCATCCGCTCCTGAATCATATGATGAATAGACCCTTTCACTGGTGATGGAACTGTACGATTCCAATTCCATATTCGCTCCAAACTGGACGGTGTGACCAAGTCGATCTCTGCTATGCTCTTTTGGGATCCTGCAGTGCCAAGTTGCTTCATCACGAAGTCGAGCCCTTCTAGCAACGTGCGCACAATCCATGGCTTGATCACTCTAGAGTCAAATCTAGCATTGACCCTCTTCATCCCAATTTGCACTTCAAGCGCCAGTGCAAATGTATTGACCCACTCCGGCTCATAGCTCTCTTTCCACACCCCAAGCGTACTTTTGGATCTGATATTTTCTTTTGGTTGGACAATAAGAAGCGTCTGGAACATGCATGCCTGCTGGGCCTCGGGGCATGTTTTAGCGATTCGATGTAAGCCGAACTGCTCGAAAGGAATCATGTCCGTCGCTTGCTGCTATACGGCCGCTAGATAGTCTAGGGCGGTTTGGGACCGTGGTATTTTGACGTAGAAGGGAACTGTTGCAACTGTTGGCCCTAAAATCTCGTTGATACCGCTAATAGGTGCAGTGCGTCCTGATTTAGTGATGCCAAACACGACATTTTCTGAGTTTGTCATGTAGCTGGCAAGCAGGGCCCAGGCGGCACGGACAAGCGTTGTGATAGTAAAATTTTGTGGCAGTGTGTCGAGCCATGGTATTTTGTGAGATATGTCGCTGTCTGCTACTGGCTGTCGCACAGACAACGGAAGCGCTGGAAAGTAACTACAGTCACAGTCCATAAAAGTATTTCGCCAATATTCAGCTACCTTGTCACTGTTTTGTGCCTCGGTGTACTGGATAAACGGTTTGAACTCGTATTTCATTGGGTTTGTCGAGATGCCACGGTAGCTTTGGTTGACCATGTCTATCATGAGGGGCAGTGACTATCCATCGTACAGCGCGTGATGAAGCGTCCACACGAACCATCGACGCAAGCTTGCATTATCTGTAACCATGGTATAGCGTGCAAGAGGATTTCCAAGTTTCATTAGCCTTTTTTTATCCTCTTCAAGATACTCATTCAATCCTATTGTATGAGTCCACTGGATTTCTTCGCTCAATACCAACTGCACAAGACCCAGATCACTGGACTGCACAATTCTTGTTCGCAGGATTGCTGTATTTCGAGCCATTTCTTCCCATATTCGACAGAAATCTCTTGTTTGGACGGTCGAATGCAGTTCCAGAGTGCGTTGAATCGTGTATTCCCCTGGGTGTCTCAAGGACAGGGATAAAAGACCTTCTTGCAAGGCAGTACAGGGGTATGCGTCTTCTATGGTGGCTGGATCCAGCTGATACTGAGCTGCAATTTCTTGGAGAAACAAGTCCTTGTTAAAGCTGTCTCTCAGAAGAGCGAAAGGCCGAATGTTTCCCGGGACCTTATCAGCTACACGATGGCACCGGCTGAACAGGCTGCCAAGTGTAGGATAATGGAAAATCTCTGAGACTGTGAGCTCAATATCAGCCTTTCGAGCTTCGGACACGACCCGCATCGCCCCAATCGAGTCTCCCCCTAGCCGAAAGAAATTATCTTCAAGTCCCACCAGCGCTGGGTCAATGGCCAGAATACCGCCCAATATCTTTTGTAACTCCAGGCCAACGCGTGATGTTGGCTTTTTCTTTGCCATCTGCTTTTGACTTTCCATGAATTTATGAAAACAAGAAGTGCCGACCTCGCGTAGTCTTGTTCGATTCAGTTTCCCTGTCGCCGTCAAGGAGATTTCCTGTATAGAGAAAAACACGGTGGGCACCATATAGCGTGGCAGGCGTTGGGTCAGCATTTTTTCAATTTCATTGGAGATGTGAAGTATCTCCGCGATGCAGGTAGGTTCCGAGTCTTTAGGGTTCCCTGAAATCGGGTAGATTTGAATGAAGGCCGCCAGCACTGGACACGAGTTTTCCCCTTGCGGCATAACGATATCTACCACAACATTCTTTGCTTCTGTCATGTGCTCCTGTAGACAGTGCTCGATTCCCCCAAGCTCAACTCTCTGTCCGTGAATCTTCATCTGCGTATCTTTGCGACCGACATATGTCAAACTTCCATCCTCGTTATAATGAACAAGATCTCCTGTTTTGTAGAGACGTTGCCTGTGTCGTCCTGGCTGTTCTGATGTTCCTCGCTGCAGCCACACTGGGTCGTAGATAAAGGCCATTGCTGTTTTCTCTTGGTCATTCAAATACCCTTCACCCACGAGTGGCCCTTCCAGAAGTAGCTCCCCGATGTCACCAAGCGGAACTAAGTGATCGTGATTATCCGGATCAACGATCCATGTCACCTGGCCAGCACCAACTCCTATTCGAGGGACTTCTTGTGGACAAGAAGCGTTGCCGTTGATTACACTGTATGGAGTACACTCGGACGGCCCATATATGTTGAGAACTCGTACTTTGCCCCACCAGCGGTTGATGTCCCTCAGCTGTAGGGGCTCTGCAATGAAGGCCATTGATTGTAGTGTAGGGGTATCCTTAGGGTCTAGCAGTTGGGCAACGGAGGGTGTAAGGGCAACAACGTTTGCGCGCAGAGATGTTATGCTCTGAGCGAGCTTGTTCATCCGATCTTGCTCCATTGGTACGCATAAGCAAGCTCCTGCGGCGAGAGATGTAAAGCTTTGGCTGATTGAAGCATCAAAGCTATATGAGGAAAAGTCGTAGACTCTCGATTCTTCCGTAAATCCGAGATGTTTCGCCTGGTAATGGAGAGCCGATGCAAGGTTGCGATGTGTAATCATAACCCCCTTCGGAGTTCCCGTACTGCCTGAGGTAAAATTCAGATACATGATAGAGAATGGGCGACCAGGGAGAAGGCGCCGATTTGCTTGAACATCTCGTTTGATGAAGGTTTCTCGGTTGATAGGAACCACATTTTGAGCCAATCGTGAACTAAGTGCCTGGTTTGAAATAGAAGACAAAATGAGGTCTGCTTTCACTTGACGGACGATGAGGTGGAGATGATGTTCTGGTAGTGAGGCGTCAAGCATCACAAATCCTCCACCAGCCTTAAGCACACCAAGCATGGCAACTGTTGTCCACATTGACTTCTCAAAGCAGAGAGGTACCAACTGGCCGGGTTCGACTCCCAATTCAGTGAGCCAATTTGCTAACGTTGTAGCGAGCTGATCCAGTTCACCGTACAGCAACTCTCCATCCCAGGCACAGATGGCAGATTTATCCGGCTGGTCTTGGGCTTTCTCTTCGAAGATTTCGTGCACGCATCGCTCAATTGGTTCTGGAGATACCTTGTTCCATGCCCAGATCTTTTCTAGATCCGTTTGTGTCACCGTCCTAATGTCTGTCAATTTGACATTTGGACTGTCATTCCGATCTGCCAGTGACATTGCTTGGTAAGGTGAACGACCACGATTTCTCTTTTTTTATGCTGTGCTAATTGCCGAGTGATTCTCAAGCACTATAATTTGTTATATCTCAGTCTTTATATAGCTACCATGTATCCAGAAATCTCAGCCAGCATCGGCACTTTCTCTCGTGATAGTGGGAGTGACAATACGGCGTGCAGGATACATGGCTATCACTCGTGGCCATCTGTACTCCGATGGCCGCAGATCTCAGATATGACGAGGCAGCTGACCGCAGATATGAACATGCAGAGTCAGATATGGAGATGTAGATAGCCAAAAGAAGAGCAACCTGTAAACTTTGTCTGGATAGCGACTTCAAAATACAAATTAAACGTCCATGGCGTTACACTTCTGTCTTCTGTGTGCACCCAAACATTCCGGTAATTCTCCGAAATCATGGTCTATATATTACACCAAAGCTAAATCTTTGAAGTACGCTATGAATCAAGGTTTAGATAGATAGGCTGCCCATAGTGTTGATCTTCTATTTAGGGGTGAATATACGTCACCCACCCTATGCCGCCCAACTTATATTCACTTCTTAATCATAGTATAAGGTCTGAGCCACATTCAATTTACAATAGACCAATTCCCCTACTATCAATCAAAATGCCTAACTGGAACAAACTAGTGGGGCTATAACGAAAGGCGAGGTGCTGATGCCATGGGATAATGGGTACGCCGCGAGCCTCAAGAGATGGAGTGTAGCAGCTGAAATACAGTCGGTCAGCTTGACCCTCCTTGTTGAAGTCATGTCTAATTAATTCCCTTCCAGGCTGTGGTAGTTAGGCCTACGTGTGCCGAAGAGGTCTCTGCAGCTGTCAAGTTTGCCGTGGCAAACAAGCTCCCGCTGGCTGTTTGTGACGGCGGTCATTCAACAAGCGAGATGTCATCATCGGAAGGCATGGTCGTTCATCTTGGGAATATGCGGAACGTTGAAATCGGCCAAGCCATGATGACGGTCTCCTCTGGTGGTGGGTGCCTTTGGGCTGATGTGGACAGTGCTCTAGAGGCTTGTGGACTAGCTACCGTCGGTGGGGCAGTGAACCACACAGGGGTGGGAGGACTTATCCTAGGAGGAAGCCACGGCTGACTGACAGCAAAATATGGCCTCACAATTGACAACCTCATATCAGTTCAGATGGTCACCTCAGATGGCTCCATTCTTGAAGCCTCTGAATCGCAAAATCCAGACCTCTTCTGGGCTGTCCGTGGAGCTGGAGCTCAGATTGGAGTCGTCACACGCTTCACATCCCGTGTTTATACTCAGGGACAGGTCTGGAGCGGAACTCTCACGTTCATACCCGATAAGCTGCCTGAACTAGTGGCCTTTGCAAACGAGTTCCACAATCGGGATCAACGAGAAGGCCACTGCTTCGCTATAGCTGTGGGATACGCACCGTATGGGGCAACCCGCATCCTCTCCACCATTCCGCTTTACCATGGGCCAGGGTGGGAAGCGAGAGTGTATTTTTCGAACCTTCTCAGCATCGGATCCATCATGGACTACACAAGTATGATGTCCATTGCGCAGGTCAACATTCTGCAGAACCCAATGGCGAATACGGCATCCGCCGCCTCCAGGGCTCCAGCAACGTGACGATGCCTCTCCATTCAGCCGTTTTTCAGCAAATGGCTGATAAAATTTGGTCTTTCCACGATATGCATCCTGACGTAAAGGTCTGTGCCCTAGCAATTGAACTTTTTTCAACCCACAAGTTGCGCGAAGTGCCCCAAAATGCTGCTGCTTATGCCAACCGCGGGGAGTACTACGATGCTATTACTATATTTGGGTGGACCAATCCGGCACTCGAAACTATGCGCACAGGTACGTCATGCAAACGGACACGAGTACGTGGGTCGTGGGGGCATGGCTCGAAAGAATAGCCGGTGGGATGTTATCTCAATATGGAAGCGGAGTTGTTGATGCCAGCTGAAGCATATGGTTTGAATTTTGAGAAATTGAAAAAGACAAAAAGAAAGTTTGATCCAGCGGGCGTTTTCCACAAGTGACATAGGGTAGTTGAAGAAATGGGAAATGATGTCAACCTTGGAAGTACCTAGGTAATTGCTAAAACTTTAATAAATGAGGTACTATATGACAGGATGCATGGATTTCATGAGATCTATGGGCCTTCCCAGGTTTATGGTGTTTTCCAAAGTTGAAACTCAAACTTTGGAAGTTCAAGCGGTTTCACGGCCCGTGCCACTAGCTTTCCACTGATATGTCGAAGTTGAAAGCAGCTACTATCTACCTATCTGGACGCGTACATGCAGGTAGCTGCAACCTTCCGAAAGGGGTTATGATCCCTTTACACCAGATTCGTTAGAAGACTATTCCCGTAGTATACGAGAGTTTTGTGCCGATATCATGTCGATTGTTTCCTATGCCCAAGAGAGAGTAGACAGTACGTATGCTTTCCAAAACAATGTAAAGGTCAGCTCACGCCTTCTCACACAGACTTGGACTCTTCCTGGTTGCACCGGCCACAGATCAATCAATCAAGGACAAAGTGACTGAAAACTTTATCCCAATGACTCTAGATTAATACTAGATTCCATCATTCCTACCTCATTTCCCTGATATATTCTTATCCCATTAGCATAGGAGTATACGCACACTTGTTGATATCTTTTCCCCCACCAAGTCTTTCGGTTTTAGCTTCTGTATTCATAAGTATGGCAGCCGAGAACGCGAGATATACTTCGTGTCCTGTTGACCTTCTTATCGCCACGCGCCCAAACAGCGCTGAAGCAATCCCTGACTTGCTGAAGGAGATTACCAAAGGTGTTGACAACCTAACTACTAGGTCTGAAGAGGACCGCAAGGATTTGGTAGTGAAGTGTCGAGCTTTAGCTAGAGCTATAGAGACTCCTCGGGAGACGATGGTTGACCACTGTTGGGGACAGGTACGTGCTCTAGGGTCCTATTGGCCGAACAGAGTAACTGATATAATAGGTGGGTGCAATCGGTGCTATAGGGTTTGGCGTGGATTCCGGATTATGGGTGTTGATGGCTCAGAATGGCGATGGACCCCAGAAGGTTATCGATTTGGCCATGAGCCTTGGAATCGATCCCAGACTTCTCAGTGGGCTTTACATGACCCCTTCCAAAGCACTAGCTAACTGCATTCTAGGTCGTCTGATGCGACATGTCAGTGCTATGGGACTCCTCATCGAGGTCGGTGAAGATGAGTACCAGCCCACAAACTATACTAAGGCGCTGAGCCTCCCTCAGATTGGACACGGGTATCTTGGCATGTAAGTGTTCTCTCGACCCTCGATCAGATCCCAAAAAGGTAACAGCACGACTCATGTTTCTTGCCGTCCGTTTAGTACCGCATGCACCGGTGCAGCCAACTTGAAATTCCACGAGTTTTCCCGTAAGCGGGGCTGGGTGAATCCGAAAGATCCTTGGGACACGTCTCTGATGTATGCCTATGGTACCGACAAGCACATATTTTCTTGGGTGCATGATTCAGGCTATGGGACACACCTGAATGATTACCTTGGTGGTTACAACCTGGGTCGCCCACTCTGGATGGACCCTGGTGTCTATCCTGTGAATGAGAGGCTCATAGATGGGGCCGATTCTAGTCCAGATGCACCATTCCTCGTAGACATAGGCGGCAACGTGGGCCATGACCTAGTGAGGTTTCAGAGTCGCTATCCGAATGCCCCTGGAAAGTTAATTCTCCAGGATTTGCCTATGATGATTCACCAAATCAAGGATCTAGATCCGGCTATCGTGCGAATGGAGTATGACTTTAATAATGAGCAGCCTGTCAAAGGTAAGGGTTCAGGTCTTCCCCACAATTCCATTTCAAGTCTATCAATTCCTTACTTATACTATCTCCAGGTGCCCGTGCTTATTATATACACTCAACTCTGCATAACTGGTCGGACGATGTATGTGAAATCATACTTGTACGAGTGAAAGAGGCCATGAAGCCCGGATACAGCAGACTTTTGATCAACGAGAACGTTGTGCCGAACACCGGTGCCCATTGGGAGACTACAGGACTCGATATGTTGATGCTAGCCCTATTCTCTTCTGAACAACGGACTAGCACAGCGTGGTACGACTTGGTTGAGAGGCGGGCGGGCTTGAAGATTGTTAAAGTATGGAGCGCTGGAAAGGGGGTAGAAAGTGTGATCGAGTGTGAGCTAGTCTGAACTTGTCAATGTGTGAGATTCGGATGTAGCCGTGGCTATGGCCGAGCTAACCAGAGAGGCAAAGATAAGTCCAAAGATACAGTGCACAGGAATTTACAAAGGTTCACAATTGAAATCCATTTAAACACTAAATTAAACAAATGGTGATTTCGCAAAGAGTACCTAAGGAAGCTTTGCTCCGTCGCCGCCACAAATGAACAAGATAAAATGGGGTATCGTCCGCAAACTCCTGCTGCCACGCGCGTAATTCATGAAGATGCGTCAATTTGGAATTGACGCCGAAGTGAGCGAACATTTAAATCTGGTGACATTATTAGCATAAGAACATGTCGTGAAAGATTATAGAGACTCACCAAAGCAAGAGGGAAACGGTAAGGAACACGGCCATTGTGCAACAGCATAGCTTTGGCCTTTTGGGGAGTAGCCTGCAGCTTGCGGTAGGCCTCACGAACGTGTCGTGGCTCAATGGGAGTGCGCCCCTCCTCAGGAGGGTCGAACAGGCCGGTCTCGCGCTTCCGCTTCTTGAGGTTTTCACCAGCTTCAGCGCCTCCGCGACGGTGCTTTTCGTTGTCTTCGCGCTCTTTGACTTTGAGTGCCTCCTCGGTGAGGGTCTGGACGATCTCGAATGTGAGGAATCCGAGGATGTCCACGATATCGTCGTTTGGCTTTGATTCGGTCACGATGCCGAAGCCTGCCCACTCGCGGAATCGCTTGCTCTTGCGGTAGGTGAAGGAAGCCTGGCGACACTCGGACCAGAATACATACTCCTCCCGTGTCATGTGGCGGGTGCGTTCATCGGCGGCAGCAAGACGCTGGAGGGTCGCGTAGTTCTGCTCCTCCTCCTCTTCATCTTCTTCATCTTCACGCTCGGGGACCTGAACTGAGTAGAAACTGTTGACATCCCAAGCAAGTCCGACCTTAGCGCGCTTGTTCTTGGGCTTGGGGGCCACGTCTTGGGGACCTGCAACAACACCAGCCGCATCGTCGGCGGCAGCGAAGTCGGCGGCGTCACCACCACCCTTGTCGTCCGAGTCCTTGACATTCTTACGGACGTCCTTCCAGGACAGGAAGGTTCGCAGGCGGGAGACCTTAGCCTTATCATGGCGAATCAGGAAAATTAGGTCGTCGGTAGAGATTGAGCGGACACCGCGGCGGGTTGCCAATGCGGTGCTGCGGGTAAGCTATCTGATCGTTAGTGACAAAAGCTTTCAAGGCAAAATTCTTAGGACCCACAATTTCGATCACTTGTTGGCGGGTAATCTCTTCAATCAAAGTGGTAGTCTCAGGAGACGGCTCTGCTGTCTCTCCGGAGACAAACATCATCTTAATAGTGTTGTTAGTAAATGAGCCTCCAGATTTGTTTCGTCTCTCTGTCCCATGATCTTCCTGGCTCTCGATACTTGTTTCGGAGCTGGTCACGGCACTGTCGATCCGAACACCCAACAAGTTGAAGATGTGAATGCAAAGCAAGCGAAGCCGAAGTCGAGGCAATCCTTCCTTGTTAGGACTGTGCAGCTGGGTGTAATTCTCGTGGAAGTACTCTCCCATGGAAAATAAGTCTGACTCAGAATCGTCCAACAGATGATCTTGATTCGCACCAGAAACGTCTTCAACAGAATGCATAGAAATATCGTCAGAGAAATCCAAGCCCAAGGCTGAATCCGCACAAGGAGCATTGACAGGGGAGGTAATGGTACAATCAGTCAAGAGCATATCAAGATCAGTCAAGGTCCCATCAGGATCAGTCAAGAGCATATCAGGATCAGTCAAGGTCCCATCAGGATCAGTCAAGTGCATATCAGGATCAGTCAAGGTCCCATCGGGATCACTTAGCATAAGTTCTTCCAGGCTTCGCCCAAAGTGATCTCGACACTGCATCCAGAGCTCAACGACTGATCTGGCGCCCAGATTAGGAACAGACATGATTGATGAATGAGCACACAGGTAAATCTTTCAATATAGTGAATGGATGGAATGTCAAAGGACAGGTGAGACGCGTTTGTAGATGGTTTGGACAAAATTGCTCAGACCACAAGACGATCGAAGGAGGAAGCAAGGCAGTAGCAACTGACATGCCGAAAAGACAAAGAGGTATCAGTGTCTCTAGTGAACGAAGCGTTCGAAATCCTGCTTAGGAAGGATAAAGAGTGACAGGTGAAGGTGAACAAGTGAGATACCCAAGCACCTCTGCAATCTGATACGCTGAGTGGCACCTATCACAAAGTCGATATCGATAAGAAGTTCACTCGAGAAGAGAAGGCACGACCGGCTTGCCAATTGCTCCTGAATCCAGAAATTTTGACATCGTCCTTAGTCTTCAACCCAGTCTCTCTCACTGATCCAACGCCAAGATTCGATATTGAGGATTGCAGTTTTGTTGCTCGACGTCAAGACGCATTCCAACAGCCAAACAATGCAAGACGACAAGGCCCAGCTGGACCGAAACATGACATGAATACAGGTGTTTGTGCCCAATATCGACCTTCATTATGAAATCCCGAAGAGGACAAGGGTGAGATGGTGTTGTTCCAGCAAACGAGTACATGCGCAAGGCAAGTGATATGTCGCAGGCCCAACCGGACTGTCCGTGAATATCATAGTTGCTAGCCTGGAAGGCAGCTTCGAAATTCCCAGGTTGAATTCCTCCCATAGAACTCGAGGATTCGAGAGGGCTGTGGCCCTGTCCCGAAATACAATATGTTTGCGCCGCGCATGTTGTGTCGCAGAGCAAGTCGACAATCGCAATATGTTCAGAGGCCTTTCGAGGCCTAATCGGACGTTCAAGTTGAAATATTCGAGAGCCAGAAAGAAAGAGACCAAAAACCCCAAGCAAAATGAACCAGAGATCGGGGAGGAACTCACCTGTTGTATCTCCTGCCGATACTTCGGATTTCGATCGGAGCTCATGATGGATGGCGGTAACCCTACCAGGAGAAACGTCTTTGGCGATCGAAATAAAGCTTGCACCAGTGTTCAACCAGTACGGGTGAGCGGTACTGGATTGATTCAAGTCAAAGTGACAGGAGATGGGCGCAAGGAGAATGAAGCTCTGGAGGTTCGGAGAAGCACAGGCCGATCTGGGGGAGATAAGCGATAACCGGATATTCTTTGATCCGGCGGTGGCGGAGTATTCTGCCGGTATCGCGGGGCACGGCTGTTCTTTTTTTTCGAACTGTTTGTTATACAGTGAGATTCATTGTATTCTACTCAATTGCATAACCTGAGATCCTACAGCGAAGATGCTTCACCTTATTGGACTTGGTCTCGCCGACGAGACGGATATCACCGTCCGCGGTCTGGAGATCGTGAAGCGGGCCGAGCGAGTCTATCTAGAGGCATACACAAGTATTCTTCTTGTCGATAAGGAGAAATTGGTGAGTTGAGTTCCAAGTTCTCTATTTTCAATACTATATCCCAATGGAAAACTGCATATTCTTTGCGCAGATGGACTGATTAAACATACTACTAGTAGGAAGCGTTCTATGGCCGCCCCGTCATCGAGGCAGACCGTGAATTAGTCGAGACCGGCAGCGATGACATCCTCGCCGGCGGTGACAAAGCCGATATTGTGTTCCTGGTAGTAGGAGACCCATTCGGGTACGGTCTTTATCACTTTCCCCTACAAGATCTATAGCTAACACTATACCTCCAACAGCGCAACAACGCATACCGACCTCGTCCTCCGCGCGCGCGAACTTGGCATCGAGACCAAAGTCGTCCCTAACGCCTCCATCATGTCCGGAATCGGCTGCACAGGACTCCAGCTGTACAACTTTGGACAAACAGTCAGCATGGTCTTCTTCACTGAGACCTGGAAGCCGTCTTCGTACTACGACCGTGTGCGCGAGAACGTGCAGATTGGCCTACACACACTAGTCCTGCTCGATATCAAGGTCAAGGAGCAGTCGCTGGAGAACATGGCGCGCGGACGCCGCATTTTCGAGCCCCCGCGTTACATGACTGTTGCGCAGTGTGCGGCACAGATGCTGGAGACTGAGGAGGAGCGACAGGAGGGTGTCTATGGGCCGGATAGTCTGGCTGTTGGTGCGGCGCGTGTTGGCGCTGCTAATCAGCAGCTTGTTTCTGGTACGCTTAAGGAATTGGCTACTGTTGAGATGGGCGCGCCATTGCACAGTCTTGTTCTTCTTGGTCGGAGGACGCACGATCTTGAGAGGGATTATATTCGCGAATATGCGGTCAATAAGGAGACTTTTGATGCGAGCTACGTCAAGGGATATGGAGCTAGCTTGTAAGAGTTGGCTTTGTGAAGAGATATGATTTCAAGATAAAAACACATGATAAGACTTTTTTATATGAGTACCAATTTACTTGCTCTAATACAGTGCAGTGAGGTTGGAATGATCAAGTTTGGAAATATAGTAGGTGGTATATTGGCTTTCATGCAATTTGATCCTGCGAGAATCAACCGACCAGAGCGAAGTGTCTGGATTTTCTGTTCTAAAATACAGAGAAGACAAAAGAAAATGCTGCAATATAACGAAAGACGCAAAGCAAATGGTATCAAAAAAAAAAGAGACGGGAATATGTATCAAAAAGACTCCCAACCAACTGACGCCTGATGATATGCAAAATGTTGAAGCAATGTACATTCAACTCTCGAGAACCAAGCCACGTTCAAGTCACATCAAATCTCTTCTTCCTCGCCGGGAAGAAGGATCTCATGTCCAGAACCTTCATATACGAATATAGCTGCAAGGCAGCCAAAGACGGATACCAATGCAATCATCCACCAGGCGAAGCCGACTATGCCAACGTCCAAGCCATATCCGTACCACGCACCGGAAAAGATAGGTCCAATGGTACGGAAGGCTGATGACACGGACTGGCCAATTCCATGAATTGTGCCAAGGACGGATGGGTGTGGCGAGCAGTTGTTCAGCAAAATAATTGAGGTGGGGAGAGTGAAGGTTCGGGCAGTGACCTGGAAGAAGAGGACAATGATGATCCAGAACCAGACCCAAGGGCCGTTCGCTTGGCCAGGAGGGGGGATTGTAGATGGAGCCAGCGAGATATAGGGAGCAATGAAGTATGCGACGGGGAAGAGGGCGAGGAAATACTGGTAGCTCCTGGCTGTTCCCAGACGACCGTTGATGGTAGGGTAGATGGTGAATTGGAGGACCATGCCAATCACACCCAAAATGGCGGTCGCGAAACCAACGCTCTGCGGCAGCATGCCCAGTCCGCCGGTGAAGCCGAATGGCAAGCTCTGGGCGGGGCTCGCGGGGTCATTGGCATCATAGCGAGGAGTAGATAGGAAGAGGAGCCAGAGGTTGTTGAAGGCACCCATTTGGAAGTCGAAGAAAGCTTGTGCGCCCAGTGTGCACAGCACGTTCTTGGTCCAGATTCTTCGGAAAGGCAACACACGCTGGAGGCGGACAGGCTTGTGCGCCTTTTCTTCGAGCTCGTAGCTTTCCGATCGGTCGATGGGCTGGCCCAGCAAATGCCCGCCCTCTTCGTAGTCGCGGAGCGGGAGCCTTGTATATAGGGACGATGAAGCGGGGACTACCGTCTTCACGCCGCGCGCAAAGAGCTTCTTAGCAAATGCACCAAGGCCAGGCTTGCCCTTGCAAGATGCCAAAGTCTCTTCTAAACCATACGCAACCAACGCTGCAGTTGAAGCGAGGAAAAGGAAGTTCGCGAACATCGGTAGTGCATAAGGGTAAGTCTCGAGCCACTGGACTCCATTCGCACCTCCGAAGGAAGAATTGGGACCAAAGAGACGGGGATAACTCTTAACAGGATCAGCCAACATGCCACCCATCACTGCGAAACTAGTTAGCGGATTGTCGCATAGCCGCGAACACCATTGACAGAACGAGGTAACTCACCAGGACCAAATAGCGAAGCTATGTTGAAGCCAATCGGCAAAATCAAGAAAGCCCGCGAGTGATATTTCTTCTCCTTAACATTCTCCGCAATCATAGTTCGAATAATACCAACGGTGCCATTGATACCACCACCAAACGAGCGCCAGAACACGGCCTGCGCGAACGACGTCGAATAGGCGACACCCAAACAAGACATCGCAGTACCAATCAAACCAACAAGTAAAACAAACTTCCGACCACCCCACTCAGCATCGGCAACACGACCCCAGGGGATCGCCGTCGCAAACTGAGCAGCGGTAAAAGCACCCTGGAGAATTCCCGCCTGGGTCGCAACATCAGAGTCGGAGAGGTTCGGATCGAAAGACTTGAGCTGATAGAACATGTAAGCCTGCAGCGAAGCGATCTGCAAGAAATCGAAGACACGACAGAGACCCAGCAGCGCCAATTGACCCTTCCGCGGCAGCGACATCCATGTTACAAGTGCGGGGCGTGCTGGCGCCTGCACAGTCGGGAGCTCATTCCCCTGCAGGGCCGGTACTTGCGGGAAGCCATGGCTAACGGAGCGGCCGCGCACATGCTGTGTTTTGCGATCACCACCTAAATCCATTGAGGTATTCCTTAACATGTTATCATCGATGGCGGGTGAGTCGAGCGAGTCGAGGGAGGAGGAGCGTTCTTCAAGGCTGGCGAGGGAGGTATTGGACTCGCGTCGGCGGCGGCCTTGGGTGTCAGAAGATTCGCCGGTGCCCTGGGTGAAATGGAAGCCACTCGACCAGGATGTCGTACGCGCGTGGCGGGCATTATGCGTTTTATGGTCTCCGGTCCTGGCAGGCATTGAGGAATGTACTAGTGTAAACCGGGGCGCCGTAAGGATCAAAAGTAGTAGACCCCTTTGGTTTCGTGTATTTTTCGTAGTTTGGTCGGGTAATTATCATGGGCTATTGAGATGAGAAAGAACATTTGAATGGAAAGAAGAGAAAGAGCTATTTTTGTATCTGTTTATTAATTTCCCTTCAATTTCTCCTGTTGTTTGTTACCGTCTCCAGGGGATTTTGGCGATGACGTCCTTTCTCGGTACTTTCTTTTAAAGGCCATCGGAGAATGCTGTGGATTTCTACTTTGGACGCAATTTGTTGTAAATATCTCTATTTTCATATTCAATATATAAAGAACATATCAATATACCGAATATGCAGATATTATAATATTCATTTCTTTAAATTAAATTCCTTAACATAGGTGAACATCCTATATGATACATACACTATTTCTGATACATAGATCGACAACGACACCTGGCTTGCGACGACCGCTCCACATCTCCCTGCCGAGCCCTCCTCTCCTTAGGCCATGACTCGCCAACTCGAGACGTTTTAGCGACGGAAGTCTTGGCATAAAAGGTACGAACCGTAGTGGAGATGTTGTTTAGCTTCATTTCAGTACTTTACAATCTTGGTTTTTCCAGATCCATAGAGATGTGCATTTTTAGATGTATGCATGAAGTGTACGTATTAGTTCATAATTATTCAAGTGGATCAGGGCCATTATCCATTTTAAGCTTGAACACGTTAAATGTGATACAAAAATATTAAAATAATGATATCCACTAAAGTTCTAGAGCCAACACCAGCGGCAACCTAGCGCCGACAGTTCAAGCGTCTCAGCCACATTCCACGTCAGTGTAAAAACCCGCTTTGATACATAACGTACAATACGAACGTATACTTCAACAACTTTGGCTAGCAGTCCTGCCACAGCCTATTGCAAGTTTAGCATACTGGACCCTATAAGGCGAATAGGGGGTTAGTGACATGTTCCATGATCAAGGCCATAAAACTTCCGAAGTGGACACAGTACGTAGCGTTTTGCATACTTTGATCGACTTGGAGGTGTAATTTACATACGGAGAACTGTGTATACCGGTATACATGGTACGGTATGTATATGTATCGTATCCCTGTACTAGCCAAACTGACCGAAAATCTAAAGTCGTATTATTATATTCCTCTACAAAACAGTCGATACGAAAGATGAAGGACCAGCGCGAAATTGTCGAACAGTTCCGCCTCCCTCCGGAGGTACGTGTACCCAGTGCGCATGGATTTCTCCCAGATGAGAAGACCTGTGAAATCGACGCCAAAAATATCCGCTTTGGGGGCTAAAAATGGCTGCCGTTCCACTCCATAACTTTTCATGTGTGAGTCGCCGGTTTGATGAAAGCCGCCTCTCCACGCATGAGTCCCGAATGCGCTCCATGAGCATGGCCAAGGTGAACGTGTGGTCCTGCAGGAGCTTGGCTTCCTCGATCCAGACGTGTGCACAGTCCAGTTCCGCCGGTAACAGGTTTAGCGCCATTTTAACTCCTATAGCTGTGTATACGGAGTACTGTTTGAAGTGATATTAATGAAATGACTGAACAATGCATTCAATCATTCCTCTCATTCATCTTACTAAAAAACGGACTCGATACATAAAACGGCCGTTCTACGGGCGTCTCATCACGATCACTCTCTCCACTCCCCTTGGGGCCCAGAAGCGATTGCATTCGTGCCCGAAACACCTCATTCTGAGCCAACTTCCCAACAGGCTTCACTGTATATCGTTCTTTATCCACAAACTTTGCATCAGGCTCCCCTTCATACGTCGATTCCGGACCGTCTATCCATGTCTTGCCTGCTTGAAGACACTCATTTTTCATTTCCTCCGAACTCCTGTTAATCATACTCTTCCAGAATATTCCTTCTCCAGAGGAAACAACACCAGTATGCTCAAGCATTCCAACAGCACCAGCAACCCAGTCTTGGCAATTTCCAACCCCGAACTTGGGGATATTGGATCCATCCTTCCCAAACGCAGAGAGCAGGCTATCAGCTTGCTGGCTCTGCTCAGAAGATAGAGAAGCAAGTTCGCAGCGTCCTTTAAGGACCGGGTCTTCGATCGGCTGTGGCCGGGGATCGTAAACGAAGTCTTCGTCTGTGGGGTTGCGTATATGATGCATTTCGCAGTTTGAGGAGCCGTGTTTGTAGATGGCGACTCCCATGTGGGAGGGGCCATCGCCGAGTTTGGCGTCGCCACGGCCGTAGATGTTTACTGAAAGGCCGTAAGTAGGAGATTCCATGGCTGTCAGTGCTGGTGGAGTAAAGTGACTATCTAGTTTTCGGCGGTTAAGCAGTTATAATGGTCACAATGCTCCCCAGGCCGCTCTATTCTGCCGAAGTAAAATAGAAGCGGTGACGCAGAGCCGCCTTTTGCGGGAATATTTCGGATATGCTACCTAGTTTTATCAAAAGTCACCCAATCCAGTACTCATTAACTGTTCCATCTAGTAGAGATCTGATATCTTCTCTACGAGCATTCGATTCATCACTGTTATTTGTCCTCTCTCTGTTTTGAGCAGTGGTGTCACTTGTGATGACGACGACGATAACAAGCTTCAATGCTAACTGTGAAGTGAAATGCCCCCAAATGTTTACCTAAGCTTCGAAACGGCCCGGGCCCGGGGCCCACCCACCCACGGGTACAGCCCTCGGGGGCCCTGGGCCTCGGGAGGCTCCGTTGGAGAGTTTCACGTAACACACATATGTATTGACAGAACCATCTGACTCTAACAACTCAAAAGGTAAGAACAACAAAACCAAACAAACAAAATCTAACATGACCAAGACTTCAAAACAAACAGCAGTAACAGCGATAATGAGAACAACAACAATGAAATCCCTCAGAGCGGTTACCGCCTGGACTTGCTGCTGCCACTGAGGCCCGCAAAGTCATCCAAATTGAGGCGGCCAACCGGTTGTCGCACTTGCTCCCTTCCAAAGGTCGCATCGGCAGGACCTCGTCCTTTCAAGTTGCCGGTGGTGCTCGGAATCCAAGAGCCGCCATCTCGCCGGATTCGATCGCCTATGTCCGAAGAAACCTGTCCAATATTTTGGCTCCAATAGTCTCTAGTACGCTGAGGCACCAGTTTCTCTCGTTCAAGAGCACCAAGTGCACCAACGATCCAATCCTGGCCGGTTTCATTCCCGCGTGGAAGGTTGGATCTGTCCTTTCCATACGCATCCAAGATTTGAGCCGCAATCGCCTTGTTCCTCTTCGAGAGATGCTGGATTTCGTTTCTACCATGGCTAGTAGCTAGTTCGATCGGACGTCTCTGTACTGAATGTTCGTAGTAGAAGTCTTCGGCCTTGCGAACATGGTAGGAATCGCCGTCCACCTCCCCTCGCTTGTGGAGCATAGCCTCCCAGTGGGCTGGGGAATCACCATGGCGGGTATCTCCCCGTCCGTAAACATTAATGCTTAGCGCATAGTCCTTTTCGCTGCCTCTGCTGGAGCGGGAGCTGTCCGTCAAGGAACAGTGAGAACCACCCACCATGGTGCTAACGAAGGTAGATTTGCTGAGGGATGTGAAGAAAATGTATATAACTTGGTGATTGGATATACAATGAGACAAGATAGAAGGGAATAGTTGTTCAAGACGATGATTGACATACTTAGCGGGGCATTGTGCATTATTTATCCTATCCTGAGAGGAGACCGTGGAGCAACATTGTGTCCATGAAACAAGCCACTGGTTAAACCGCTGGCTAGGCAAGCGCTGAGGCTCTTGGAAATTATCAGAATAGAAGCATAGTGTTTCATATAACCCTCGTATTTTGGACATTAAGTGGCTTTTAGGAAATAATGGCACCCAGGCAGACTTGAACTTGAACCTGATACATCAATGGCGGCTAGAAGATCTACATTCATGCGATGGTTATATAACTTCGATTTATTGGTCATAAAAGCCTCTTGGGGTGCCTTGGCGCACATTGAGGTGCTAGGTGGATGTCAAATGGACCACTCACAGTTAAAAGATATCTAAATATAAATAGATACCCTGCTAGTTCCCTTGACTAGCATGGATGTTTAGGCAATCAGGGCAGCAAACCAATCACATCCATCCAGGGTCAATACCGAAGTGACTAAGCCCACTATGCGGCTTAAAGCATCGCAAGAAGGCCAATAAGCTCGAGATACGCATTGCTGCCTCACTTTCTCTCGCCACAATTAAGAGCATAGTAACTATTCGATTTTCATACGGGTATTCGAGTCTTTGCTAAACCTATAATCAAGTTTTCGGACACCACTCCAATTGACAGTGTTTCGTTCTCCTTTTTAGCATGCCTTTTTGACAATGTCTATTTCATTAGAGAAATGAAGCTCTCTAGTTGATCATGTCCGGGATGCTCTTCCTTCTATTTGAGCAAAGTCCCGCCATACTGAGATTTTGGGGAATTGATCTGAAGCACGCGGAGTGGCACGTACTGGAGTTCTACCATGCCCTGTTTAATCCACCTTGGAGAGCCTCGTCGAATTGCATGGTCGAGAAGTTCATTCCACCTTTTTATGTTCAGCATATCGTGATTAAAGGATATTCAGGACTGTGTGGAACTAGTAAAGGGTATAGTTCACTGCTTCCTAGGAAATACAACATGAATGAAGTACTCCTTACAAACATATTTATGCAAAATATTATTAAAATAATAGTTTATCTACCAAGGTTCTAGAGCCGACACTGATGACACTGATAGTAGAAGCTTTTCGGCCATGTCCCACGTCACTAGAAAAAGCAATTTTGTTAGATCACGCATAATACAAATGTATACGCGGCCATCAGACACAGACATATGTAAATTATGTACATCCTCCGTACTGTGTAAACTTGTATACGTATATCGTATCCCAACATATGAAAGTAAGATACGCCTAAAAACATTTCGATTTATTCGCCTAGTTAAGCATTTGGCAGGTAGACTTAGAAGAATTTCCAAAGCTCCGTGATTTGCGCATTCGGGATTTATAAGATATTAAGAATACGCCTATCACCAGCGGGGGGAGAAATACCGTCGAAGGCGTGGTATCTAGCATCGATACCAGCCCAAAAGACGCAATCAATACAGCAACATCGGCTACCGGCGATACCATTCAAGCTTAGATACATAATTTGAAGTCTCATCTTCCTCGATACTATACTGTCAGTCTTTAGAGCTAATACAAAGCCCAGAATGGCCTGGAGATAGTTTGCTCCGACCCTAGCACCTTATTCTCTTTAGATCTATCTGCCGTACTTAACTCCGCGCCTATAGGTCCCGAGCAACCGTTTTGTATTAGCTGGCAAGGAAGGAAGCGAGGGAGGCCAGATAGGTACGCCGGGAGCAACCACCCATTCCGAATGTTTGTTTCAGCCGTACGCCTTGACCTCCGACCTCCAACTTCAACTTGAATTCGGCCGACTATAGGCTGCCTCACTCTTAAGGGCGGGGTAACGTTTTCACCCGGGTTTGTTGTTATCTAGCCCCTCAGCAGATGAACAGTGTCCCCCTTTTCTCAGCCTCGTTCAGAATGCTACATAGTGGATCATCTATGGAACACGCGTCAAGAAGGTTTATTCCGTGGTGCCTTGATATCAGCGACATGCGCGTTTGACTGATTTTCCCTTTGAATACATACAGACATATATTCATAGACACGTGGTTTATGTCAGAGTTGAGATTATCCTAGGCGTCAAAATCGCCCGTATTTATTTTGGGTGTTCTTGAATTAGCAAAACGAGTACAACACATGGTTGCTTTCTGCATCTAGCTAATTGCTAATCTTGTTCAACCCACCACTTTCCGGACATACTGTATATCCAGGCAAGGTATGTAATCTCGCTAGGCAGAGCTGCCTCGAAAAACGCTTGGCATTTGAAATCATGGTCAGCATGATGCAACACCATCACTGGGTGGTAATCCACCCTGAAGGGGCTGAACTGACGAGGCAAACATATATGCAGGGTTGAAGCGGATCTCAGTGGTCCGAACTAATGGCGAAAGTGTCATGTAGCAGGGGTAAAAGGCGACAGATCATGGAATTGCTAATTTCCATTACTGGCATCTAATTTACCCCTCATCTAGGCATTTATATGGCAAGCAGACACTCGGAAGATTCTCCGTACGTAGGTACGTAGGATCCGCATTTTTTATGGGCATTGATAACAGTTCAATGCACCTACATATTCGACGGCTTCAGAGCTCGCTATAAACGCAAAGATTTCTACTTTTTTTGTATCGTAAATTTGGCACATGGATAGCGTATTGATGATATCTTGACCAAGTGACCAACCAGGGCTATTCATGGCGGGTCTTTTACTTCCGGATCGGGAACTTATTGCCAGTGTTGGAACTGCCCAGGAAAAAGGGGTATTCGATCATTTTTGGAACAATAACTTTCGCTTTTCCTACTGGAAGAAACCTCTAGTGACGTGGGCTAAATCCATATGGGTTTAGCTGCATCGCAAGGTCACATGTATACAGTTCATGCAGAGGGATTAGAATGCATGTCAGCCTCACTACACTGTGACGTGTACAGCTGAGGCAGGGCTAGGTACATGTAGATAATTGGTTCGCTGCTTATATATAAATATGTGACTGTGTTCGTTCTTGCATTGATTCAATCAAATCGCACACTCTCCGATCAGAGTAAGAGGTTATAATAAACCATCCGCAAGATTGAAATTCTTCTGAACGATTAAACGAAAGTAAGAAATGCCGTGATTGATAAAGTCTTTTTATTATGATTGTATTAACAAATATCCTAGATTTACAGCCAAATTACCACTATATTATCCGAAATGCCACCCGACGCTTTGTCACTAGCCGCGGTAGGCTGGTCTATCGCCGGAACAGGCATCGTCATCACAGCTGGATTAAACGATAATGGAATCCTTTTGCAACTCGAAGCGAACAACTTGAGGCAGGCGGAGGAAGGCAGGGCCACTAGGGTTATGCGTTTCATACCCGAAATCACACATGTCCAGATGAGAGTCGATGACCTTATGCAATGGGCTAAACAGCACAATTTGCAACTATCTCCCATTTCTCCCATTGACCAAGAATATGCACGGTTAGCGGGCAGCTATGAAGGATTTAAAACGCTGTAAGTCTTTGAACCATTCCCCACGCTCCAGAGCACTGAAGCTAATGAGGCTGCAAAGGCATAAGTACTAGATTATCGGGGTGCTTTTACACTAGCTCTAGCTATTATGATAATTTTATCCATTTTTCTCTGTATTTTCCTTATGTTACTGTTACAGACCCACCATTATATAAAGTTGTCTTAAATATATAACGTATTCGGCAAGCGAGTGGCCATTGTAAGCGAGTGGCCACCCCAACCAAACCTACTAATTTCAAATGTATACAACTCAACCAAACCGCCATTAAATTAAATATACTAAAATCATCTATCTAGCTAGGCATCTATTAATCTTATGCCCTATTTCTCCATAACCACTACACTTTGGGGGGGGGGCCTGTATATGTGGTTGTAAAGCCGGCGAAGGGCTTCTTTATAGAGGGGGAGGGGGTACTTGAATTTAGACTTCCGCAAAGCTTGAAAAGCCCGAAACCCGACCCGACTCGACCCTCAAAAGGGTTGGGTTTCGGGCCTGTTCCCAAAGCTCGTAGCGGGCTTCGGGCTTTTGGGTTGGGCCCCTAGCTTGAAAGGGGGGGGCCCCCCGAGCCCCCCCCCTTTCGACTAAATAATGCAAATATACTAATTTCTTGTGACTGTACAAATAATATAGGAATTCCTAGTAATTTTAAGTATTTTAATTATATCGTTTACTTTAAATTTAAGAAATCATTGAGTTATTTAAGTATATATTAATATATTATAATTAATTCTAATATGAACTAATAAGACTAATATATATTATCCTCTATATACTTCCTTTTCCTCCCTAATATATATAGCTAAGTACTATAACTTAGTAATAGAGGATTACTAGTATTATTACTAGTAATATTATTATTAATATTAATTAAACCCTTAGAACTCTTAGGCTATTCTTCTATATTACTAATTTATTTAAATTTAATATTATTAAGCTTATTATCCTTTTCCTCTCTTAATACTTTGATCTTATTTAGAGAGAATAATTATTTAAGCTCCTTTACCTTATATAGGCCTTAACAAGTCCTGTAGTACCTGGCCAATTTTGGTGCTGCGATATGGTGCTACGAGGTGCTATAGGACTAAGCTAATTTTGGTACTATTATATAGTACTACGGCACTAAGTGCTATAGTACTACGTTAGTATAATTCTACTAAGGATTACCTAAAATAGATAGATAAAATAAAACGCAAAATTCAGTTGGCCCACACTTTTGGTCGACGGCTATAGCGTCTGCACTCAAAACAAAACAATTGCTTTGCAGCCAAGGATAACCTCTGCTCTGGTGGATATGCGAAAGGTGGGCTCTGGAACAGCTGAAAGCACAATACTCCGTTTATCCAAGAGTCAATCGGAACGGTGTTTGGACAGTGATTTCTGTCAGCTGCCACCCACAT